CCACCTGTCTTCGCCTTGAACTTCCACGGGCGCGCCTGCGGTGTGATCGCGAGCACTCCGCGCAGGTCAGGGCCGGCAGACCGAGAAGCACTGCCAGCTGTTACCTTCGCGGCCTTCAAGAAGAGTTCATCGCTGTCATCGATCTTGACATACACAGCCTGTGGCATGTAGTAGAGTACGACCACACCGTCCGATACAGGCCGACACGCCCGACATAACGCTAGGGGGACATCGCTGTTTCAGTTATACTTAGACACGACACGACGGGGCTCTTCGCGATGGCGGGAAAGCCGCTCCCCCTCGTTGTAGCGCGCGATGGCTTCGGCCTTCTGGTGGTGCAGACGGCGCCGCTGTTCCCGCAGAGCTTCCTCGGGAGCTGCTGTATCACGGTCCTCACTGTGATCAGCTTGCAACGCTTGCGTTAGCATATGAACGTCGAAGCGCCCTGAGAAGGCCAGCACCTCCCAGATCTGTTTGGTGCCGGCCACGCGTTGCAAATGGCGATGCCACCGCTTACGCCTCTGGTCTTTCACAAACCTGGCGAGGCCACCTAGACCTGCACCCTTGGCCTGGCCACCTCTTCCCGCAGGCTGAGAAGCACCGCGAGAACCTTTCTTACCGCCTGGCCCTTTGCTGGAACCCTGCGGAACCGCATGGCCCCCTTGTGGCGCAGACTTGCCTCTCGCTTTTCCCTTTTCGACATCCCGTTCCTGAAGCGCACGCTGCTGCCGCGACTGCTCGTACTGGTCGCGAGCTAGTCTGACAAATTCCTGGCGCTCAGGCTCCGTGAGAACGTAGCGCATGTCGTCGATGTTCTTGCTCCGCAGAAAGTCATGTCGAAGCTGAAGGACAGAGATAATGGCTCGGCCAGTCTCCTCCTGAGACGCAAAGGCCGTGTCATATTCCGAGCCAGGCTGAGGAGCACCAGCTGGATCAGTGTCCGCTAGCTCCGTGGACTTCCTCTTTTTGAAAAGCAAGAGACTGAGATGAAAGAGGACTTTCGGATCGTACTCATCGTCGTACCTTTCGTCCCAAAACTGCCTCAGCTCCCTGTGCAAGTCGTTCGCGCGAGTTTGAACAACATCCTCGACGTAGTCGGGATCAGCCGGTGAAGTCGGTGAAAGCGGAGGAGTTGGGCTCGGCGACCGATCCCAGTGCACAGAAGAGTCGGCGTCCGCCTGTACGCTGGCGTCGGCGTCGGAGACGTTTTCGACGACAATCTTCCGCCTCTTGCTCTCCCCAGGCTGAGAAGCACCAGGGGGGGCGAGCGCAACCGCCACGGCATCGTGTGCGTCGTTGCGCATGCCACGATCCGTAAACGACGCGCCAACGGCAATCGGGCCGAAGCGGGCGACTGCTCCGCAGACCGCGACGCGGTCGCCTTTGAGGTCGGCCGGAGTGGCAAGGACATCCCAGAGCTTCTCGTCGTCCTGCTGGCGCTGGTAAGCCTCCCGCGCCTCTTGGAAAGTCAGGTTGTGGTCGCCGACTGCAAGCAGAACGACTGGCACGTGCGGCTCCGAAGCATTGAGAAGCTCAGCGATGCCGTCCAGGCGCAATCGGAGATGGCGAACTGTCCGCTTTCGAGTCTGAATGCTCGGCGGTTTCTTGCCGCAGACGATGTGCATGTTGGCGATCGCCACGTAGGACTTCTCATGGCCTGGTTTGTTCACCTCAAAGCGTGAGATGACGGCATCAATCTCTCGCCCGCTAGGAGGCCTGTAAACATGGCTGTCTTCGCACGGAGTCACTTCCGCAGGCTGAGAAGCACCGCGGAAGCCCCAGAGAGTCAAGTAGTTGTCGACCTCCGAGAAGCCAATGCCATCACCGAAAGTCTTACTGAGGATGTCTGTCACGTTGATCGCTGCTCGGCGAAAGTCTTCACGGAACGCACCGACCTCGCATGCACAGACAATGTCAGCATCAGCGTTCTGCACTATCGTGGCGCACACCCTTCCGAAGTTAGCGCAGTGAGTGGCCGCCTGCTTACCAGTCATCATGCCCTGCTCGAACCCGAAATTGAAGGAGGCGACCGTGAAAGACGCAGGCTGCGGAGCGCCAGGACCAGGCGTCTGTCGACCTTCCTCCGCAGGCTGAGAAGCACCGCGAGGCGGCGACACTTCGGACGAGCCTCGCGGAGCAGAGGCTGCGGATGAACGTTCCATATAGCGGTACGGCCAGGGGAACGCCATTGCAATCGAAACTCTGGTGACGAGGCACGTTGAGTGATATGGACTGCAGTGTCACTAGCAACTCCCGAACCAAGCACGGCTGTCGCGGAAAGATATAAAATGTGACCCGAGACTAACCCAGTGAAAACTCAGAGAAATCAGTGTGTGCGTGACGGTTGTGTCAGGGAATTGAAAGTTGAGATGTGACAGGTCGACAAGGACACTGTGTATGAGTGTTGCATGATAGTGAGAGAACGAGTGTTGCCCAGGAGTGTCGCCCAGATATGAAGTTCTGAGAGGTCACAGAGCACAAAGTGTGTGACTGTCGCGTGGGATTACTCTGAATGTATCCCGGGATTGCCGTTCCAGACAGCCAGATAGCCCGGCGTGTATACCTGTTGTGTGCGATTTTTCCAAATGTAGCCTGGGAATGGCGTTCTGGGAGGTCTCGGAGCACGAAGTGTGTGACTCTTGCATCCTGTTATTCCGAATGTGGCCTGGGAATGGGGTTCTGGGATGCCAAAGAGCTCGAAATGTAAGACTGCTGCATCCCGTTAATCAGAATGTGGCCCGGGAATGGAGTTCTGGGGTGTCAAGTGCGAGGAATTGTATGACTGTTGCGTCCGGCTATTCCGAATGTGGCCCGGGAATGGCGTTCTGGGAGGTCAAGGAGCACCAAGTGTGTGACTGTTGCATCCGGTTATTCAGAATGTGGCCTGGGAGTGGGGTTCTGAGAGGTCGACGAGCACGAAGTGTGTGACTGTTGGTGAAAAACGAGCCCGGCACAGGCCCGGCACCCTGCCGGCCGGCAACTCCCAACGCCTGCCCGGACCCCCCTGTGGAGTGATCTGTGAGCTCTTTTGAGTCAACTAGAAACCTATCAGTCTACGCTGTTAGGTAAAAATCATTGATTCCCTACCTAGGCTCTGCCTAGAAGGGTTCTTACTCTCTTAGCTTACAGGGGCCGGGCAATGGAAAGCGCCCCGGGCGGTTCCCCCGGTCCCCGCCCCGCGCTTCCCCCAGTCCCTTGGGAGGTTTAGCTTTAGCTCTTAGCTTTAGCTTTAGCTTTAGCTTAGCTTTAGCTTAGCTTTAGCTCAGCTTTAGCTTAGCTTTAGCTTGGCTTTAGCTTAGCTTTAGCTTAGATTTAGCTTAACGTTAGCTTAGCTTTAGCTTAGCTTTAGCTTAGCTTTATTTTTAGCTTAGCATTAGCTTAGCTTCAGCTTAGATTTAGCTTAGCTTTAGCCTAGCTTTAGCTTAACTTTAGCTAGCTTTAGCTAAGCTTAAGTTTCGCGTTGGCTTAGCTTTAGCTGAGCTTCAGCTTAGCGTTAGCTTAGCGTTAGCTTAGCTTTAACTTAGCTTTAGCTCAGCTTTAGCTTCAGCTTTAGCTTAGCTTAAGCTTAGAGTTAGCTTAGCTGTAGCTTGTATTTAGCTTAGCTTTAGCTTAGCTTTAGCTTAGCGTTAGCTTAGCTTTAGTTTATATGTAGCTTAGCTTTAGCTTAGCTTTAGCTTAGCTGTAGCTTAGCTGCAGCTTAGCTTTAGCTTAGCTTTACTGTTACTACTAATGCTGCTTTCCTAGGGGCTCCAACTCCTAGGTAGGGTCGCACTGGGATGATGTTCTCAAGGAAAACGTGCATGTTTAGCATATACGGTTTTTCGCCTTTCATGGCGTTGAAGACGGTCCAAGAGGCCCCCAAGACCGCCCCAAGACGGCCCAAGATGTTCCCAAGAGGCCCCCAAAATAGCCCAAGAGGGCGCCAAGACGGGCCAAGAGGCGTCCAAGACTGTCCAAGAGGCCTCCAAGAGCGCCCCAAGAAGGCCCAAGAGGCCCCCAAGAAGGCCCCAAAACGGCCCAAGAGGGCGCCAAGGCGGCCCAAGAGGCGCCACGACGGCCCAAGACGGCCCCAAGGAGGCCCCAAGAGGCCCCCAAGAGAGCCCAAAGACGGCCAAAGGCAGCCTAGTCCCTTCACCCCCGCCACCCAGAAGCTCCCAGGAGGCCCCAAGGGGCCCCCGAAAAGCTCCAAAAGGTCCCCAAGAGGCACCCAAGAGGCTCCCCAAGAGCCCCCCAAGATGCCCATAATACTCCCAAAGGCTCTTAGCACCGCGGCTCCCAAGAACGAGCGGTGACGTAATCGAGCTGATAAGACCAAAGCTCCCAACCGAGAGCTGCGACGCAATAAGTTCTTGACCCCAGGGCACAGGGACGGGCGGCAACGCGTGGACATCGAGCGGTCCACGCAAGGACAACGCGGGGTTCTGGAAAGCTGGCAGCCCAAACGCGGGAAACGCAACGCGACCCGACCGCCCCCTCCAAAACAAGAAACGCGCTCAAAGAAAGCTCCGCGACTCTCCCGAGGCTGAGATAGGACAAGAGCGAGGGGAAGGGAGTCAATAAGAGGTGTAAGAGCGGGCGAGCCAGCGATCTCGTGCGCTCTGAAAGTAAGTGCGCTTTCCGACCCCGTGCCAAGCAGGTCTAATGGCCCTCGAAACCCTCAGTCATTTTTCTTCGTGGACGACGAATGCATTCGTAACCACGGCGTCGCAGGCCGAGCCCCATGTGCCTTGCGTTTTATTGCGTATGCCCTGTGCGGAACGTATCCGTGCGACCGCGTATCCGCGGGATCGCGGCCCGGAATCCAGACCGCGACGGCGTGGACATAGGTACGCTCGCCACTCGTGATCCAGACCGCGAAGACATGGACACGCTCACCGCTCGCGATCTACCAACCGTTCTTACGAAGGCCTCTCAAGCTTTGCTTCCTGAGCCTCCTCTGGCTGGTCGGCAGCCTCTTACTGGGGGTCCAGCTGCGCGCCCCCGCGGCGGCCGCCCCCGAGGCCATCGCAACCGCCGTCGGCGACGGCCAGACGCTGGACGACAAGGCAGCGCTTGCGCTTCGGCTTTGGCTCGCGCCGGGCGGGGCCTCCGCTCGGTCGGCCTGCTCGCCGGCCGTCCGCGGAGGAGCAAGAGACGGTCTCTGATCCCGTGGCGACGGGCGTGACCGGGGGGGGGAGGGGCCTGCTCACGTCGCGATTCGCGCGAGCAACGCCTCGGGATGGCTCATTCCCAGACGGCGCCAGTGCGGATCGTGACGTGAACGGGGGTGGGGGAGGGCGGGGGTGGGGCGTGGAAGTCAGCTGATCCTGCATGTGGACCGCGTTTGGCCCTTCCGCCTGCTCCTCCTCGCCCTTCCCGTTCCTGCTCCCCCTCCTCGTTCTTCTCGTCTCCCTTGTGAAGTGGCGAATGCGGTCCAAATCTGGTTCCGCATGTGTTCCAGTTCCAGTCCACACCAGGCCCAAGTCGGACAGCGTCGGGGGCCACGTAGGCTCCCCAAAGCAGGAGGAGCGGCGCCCTGAATCTAGACCGGAAGGTTCGCTCCGCATCGTCGATGCATCGGCGATGCGGCTCGATGTGTAGCCCGATGCTCTCCACGCCGACGGAGCCGATGCATCCCCGATGTCGCTGGCGCATCGCCGATACATCGGCGATGCGGCGGCGAGATCCTCCAATCCCATCTGCTCGGACGCCAGTTGGGAGGCCTCTACTGGGTCTCGAAATCCCATTGGAAATAGCGAAGAATGGAGAGAGTCTCGACCCACGGCCCGCCGGCCCTCGGAGGAGGAACACGGGGAGGGGAGACGGAGGGGGGGCCAACGGAGGCGGGGGGGATAGGCTCAGGGGCGATGCTCGAGGTGTTAGGTGTGAATCGGGCCTGCCCCTGTGCAGGGGGAAAATGAAAAAATAGCAACACAAATAGTCTGGGGACGATTGTTTGACCATGTTTGAATATTTGGGGGGTATTTTGTTCGTTCCAAGTCCGCCTGGAGGGGGACATGCCCATGTTTGGTTTCTGACGTTTTTCGCGGTTCTCCGAAGTTTTCCAGCCTCGGGATGCGTTCCAGCATTTACGTCTCACCGAGGGCGTCCGGGGGGTACCAGAATCGTCCCGAATGGCCGTTGGAAATTCAAGTTACGCGCCACATGTTGCGCGGCAACATTGGGGGGGGATATGCTCTGGGGGGTTTGCATTGACCCCCAATCGCCCATCCATCGCCGATAGGGGCTCGATAGCCCGCCTCGTCCAGGAGCCCGCGGATTAGCTACAAATTGGGGGCCCATCGCCGATCCATTGGCGATGTATCGCCGATTCCAGGTCGATGGCTTCCCCGTGAGCCGGCCCCCCCTGACGTTGCCCCTCAATAGAGGGGCGGCGGATCTGTGAGGAGGGCCTGTCGAGTTAACGACGGGCCTCTTGCGTTTTGCGTATTGTTAGGTTCCCTTGAGGTTTCCCCGTCGCCACGGGTGGGTCCGCCTCGAGACACCGGTCAGGATGTACCCCAGGAGGGATCCAGGGGCCGATTTTGAAAGGGATTGGACCTGGCGGGGGAACCGCCGTTGTCTGGTGCCCCTCTCCGACAGGAGCGAGAGAAGGGGGAGGAGGGGAACAGGAGCGACAGGGGGGATGGGAGAGGTGGGGGGGGCGAAGGTGGTGGTGACATGATGGGTCAGAGAGGCTGAAGGAGGGAGGAGGGCCATACATGGGATGACCGCGTCGAGCAGCAGGTCCAGGTGGACGCGGAGTGAACAGCATGAAGTCATGAAGACCATCAGGACGAGCAGGAATGGAATAGGAGGAGGTGGAGGAGGGAGGAAGGTGGAAGGATCATGATAATATGGCGGATGAAGAGGAACAACGAGACGGCTGAAGCAACAGGATGTAGCGCACGAGGACCAGTAGTAACGAGCACGAGCACGATGAGCGGTGAGTGGAGGTACGAGACAGGACGATGATGGGCTTGGGTCCGCAGGAGGAGGAGGAGGAGGATCCGCAGGAGGAGGAGCCGTGCGGGGAGGGGAGGAGGCATGACATTATGAATATTCTAGACGCCTTGCGTAACCCCACCAGCCCATCCAGAAACGATGTTCAGGCGAGTTGCCCTGGTCAATGATTTGGGGGAGCATCTTGAACAAGGGGGTGGCATCTTGAACTGTACTTGGGGCGTCTTGAGGGGCCTCTTGGGGCGTGTTGGGTGCCTCTAGGCAGCCTCTTGGAGCTTCTTCGGGGTCGCGTGGGAGCCTCTTATGGACCTCTTGGGGGCATCGTGGGGCCTCCTGGGCGCCTCTGAGGACCTCTTGGGGCACGCTTGGGAGCATTGGGGGTCATCCTGTGGCCAGCTTGGAGGAGATCGATCAAAGAAGGGGGGGTTCAATCAGATGTTCCCCCAAGAGGCCGAACTGGGCCCACCACCTAAGTAACATCACTCATGTGTGCGTTCTCGCCGTGGGCGTCTTGGACGCTCTAACGCGCCGCGGGGCGCCCCATCCAGGTCCAGGGGATGGGATACGGGGGCCCCTCAAGGGCTGACGGGATTCGAGGGATGCAACAGGGGTAGGAAGATGAGTAGGAAGATGGGGTATGATGAATACTGAGGAGTGCGAGTTGGACGACGGGCAGGACCATGCGAGGAGTATGAGCGAGGGTGATGGGTACGTACGATTTCCGAGAAGCAGATCGAGAGCAGATCGAGGAGGGTGAGGTGTGGAGGGATGAGTTGGAATACGACCCGATGCTGAGGAGGAGGAGCAGGAGGAGGATCGGGATGGGTACTCGGAGAGTGACGAGCATCGGAGGAGCGTCAAATGGGTCTCGTGAGCGACGACATGACCGGCACATCTGAGCCTTGCGGGGCGGCGATTCGCATGACAAGCTCGCGCGTGAGAGCGCCAGCGCGATGGCGACGGCATACAGATCGAGGAGACAGGGGATCGGGATGATGATCATGATGGTGATGATGAGGAGGAGGAGGAGGAGGAGGAGGAGGAGGAGGAGGAGGAGGAGGAGGTCCAGGAGGGAGCAGGACGAGAAGGATGAGAGCGCCCGCGCGCGGCGCCCAGTTCCAGACGATCGGCGAGCAGCACAAGTTCATCTGAGCCCGTGCGCGCGCCCGTCCTCGGAACTGCGCGACGCCCCCCCCTGGCGTCGAGAAAGAGCGCACCGCTGCGCGGGCCAGACGACAGCTGCGCGGTCGGCATCTCGCGGTCTTCTCCGCCGTTTTTCCCCTGAAGAGGAACGCAGTACCCGTGCCGTTACCCTTCTCTGGGCGCCACGGCTGGATTCGCGACGAAGTCTTGGGTTTAGCGCACCCGAGGAGCGGTGCACGGAGTGGTGGTAACGGTATCTGGTTGGTTTCCCAATTTTCTTACTGTTCCCGCCTCCCTCCTCTCCTCTCCGTTCTTCCCCCCATTCTGCGCACACTCGCCTGCCCCCTTGCGCGTCTTTCTTCCTCCTCCCCATGTCCCCCCTCGTCTCCCGCCGAGCTAACTTTGGGAGGGGGTGGAGAGGGGAGATTGAGAGGCTCCTCCAGGGAACAATGTCGGATGGACGTCCCCCCATCTTCCTTCTCCTCTCTCTTTCCCTGGGCTTCCTCTCCCCTCCCTCAGTGGGTAGCGCACCCCTCTCCTTTCCCACTCCTGGCTCCCCGCTCCCCAGCAGGCGGCTTGTAGCGCTCTTCCTCGCTAGCTCGTTCTAGCGCTTTTGGCTTACGTCTCTCTTCCCCTCTCTTTACCGTAAACGAAAGAGAGTATGTTGCCATTTGTTCGACGCCGACGGCCCTGTTCGACGACGACCGTACGACGTTCGACGGCGACCATTCGAGCCCCGAAAGCACAGCTTGCCGCTTACGCCACCGTTCGACGACGACGACGACGACGACCTTGGTCCCCACTCCCAGAGGGGCGTCGTATGGGTGAGAGTTTGGCACCCAGCGCTAGGCGGCCCGGCCACTCTCTGCTCCTGCGTCCTCGGAGGAAGAGAGGCGGAGGAGGAGGAGGAGGAGGAGGAGGATCCCAGCGATTCCAGCAAGCAGGTGAACGAGTGCAAGCTCGGCCCTGGCAGTGTCAGTTACGGGGCTGGGAAGGACATGCCGTATTTGGGGGGCTTACCTTTCACCAGCCTGTCGAGATTGCGTCTACCAGTCGCAGACTGTTCGGGAGGGCAAGGCTGAGTCAGCTTCTGTGCAAGGCTGACGGCATCTTCGACAACCTTGAATTCTGCCAGAACGTGCATCGGATGCGCACGACCCAAACACGGATGCCCGCTCGGATTCCCCAGGGACGTCCCCGCAGCCGTCGAAGGGCCCAAGCATCAGAGGACCCAAGCACGGAGGCCCCAGGGCACCGCGCAGAATCTCGCATGCTCTCCACGCACAGCCTCAAATTTGCAAAAACAGCGGGTACACGTGTATGCACCGCCAACTTTGGATACTGAGTGACTCTGCTCAGTAAGCCTCTGCTTACTGACATTACTAGAGGGCCCTTTCTCTCGGTGATGTTCTCTGCCTAGTCGATCCTCGCGTTATGAAAACACGTGTCGAGACGGCGAGGAGCCTCTTCGTCACCATGACGAAATTGTCATCGTCTGTATGAATTTCGTTACTTCTTTTCTCAGGCAGGGCTCTCCTCTTGGCAGCTCCTCTCGCAAAATTATGAGCAACACCGTTGGCGACTAATCCGTAGGGGATCAGGCGGTGTGCGACAACCTATTTCCAAGTAGTGTGATTCTTGTACCATCGTATCTGGAGGCCCCCTGAGGCCCCCTTCAGCTCAACAGTTTGGATGCCTGCTGCCACAGGTCTGGCGTACAGATGCCTCGAGCTGTGGGGAAGTAATCGGTATACAACGCGTCGCCCTCGACCCGGCGCAACATCTGGATCAGGGCATCGAGTTCTGTTCTGGGAAAGCGCTGGTCCTCGCCAGACAGCGTGCCGCACAAGACAGCAGAGATTTGCAGAGGATCTGGGTTCAATTGACCCACGTACCAGGGACATCTTCTGAACAACCGATCCTTGGCGTGAGCTCCACCAGAATCACCGGTGCGGAGCCAGAACCCCCCCCCCCTCCCCCCGAGCATCTACAGTCAAACATTTGCCCTTACAGTCGGCCCAGATTAGTAGGTCGACCATGCCAAGTCAAGGGTACCTTTGTGTCCTGTGTCTCGCGACCCGTGCCTCCTGCATTCCTATGGCAATGTGGCCCCCGGAAGGGTCTTTTGTTCTCTCGCGTGTCCTGTCCAATGAAGTCCGACTTTATCGCAAGGGCACCTTACATCCTTCGGTTCTGTCAATCCTTAGCACGTTTTCGGTCTCCTCCTCCCAAGGGCACCCTCTGAGGATCGCCGCGTGGTTTCATTTCGGCGTGTTCCAAAGGTCTTGCATCCTCGAGCTTCATCCTGATCGCTGGTATTGACTGTGCTTCCTGTCTCTGCCGTCCTTCACTCCCTCCGACCTCCCCCGCGGCTCGGCCCGCCAGGCGATCGTGCGTGGAAGGGGCCGGACGGGGGCACCCCGAACAGCGTCAAGCTGCTGCGCGGCTCCCCCGAGACCAGGGTCACCGAGATGTCCTGGGGGAAGAGGCGGCCCCCGCGGGGCTGCCTCCAGGCAGTCAGAGGAGGACGAGGAGGGTGACCACGACGACGAGGACGAGAGGAGGAGGAGGGACAACCAGTGGAAACCCCAGACGCATCAGCGACGTTGCAAGAGTGCCTGCCTCCAAGTTCCCTGGTCATAGCTCCTTGGAAAGAACTGGCTCTCATTGCGGGGAGTGGTCCATGAAGACAGCCGTTCGAGAATCCTCAACCGTGCCAAAACACAGTTCTTTGGACTTCAACGCTGCGGATCAACGTGTCTGGTGCGTCGTGACAATCTTGAGTCGTTGGAACGCCATCCCTGGGACTTCACCGAGAATTACTGTCTCTGGTAATCTTAAATCATGTCAGGAATCCATCCCTGGGACTTCGACCATTCGAACCTTTTTAAACTGATGCAGACTTACGAAACGAATGCACGCGGCGCTAAGGTCAGAGCCAGAATTAGAAAGCCACCTGCCCTCCATCCGTGAATATGTTCCAAACGTTCACGACGAATGATTGCGGTGCTATGGCGAGAGGCAGAATTTCAAAACGGCCTGCCCTCCATCCGTGAAATTGTTGCAACTTGAAGTTTCAAGACAAACCGCCAGGGCTTTGTGGCCAGAGCCAGCGATTGAAAACCACCTGCCCTCCATCCGTGAATCGCTTGCACACTTGTATGACGAAATGCGCGCGGCGCGCGCCACATTTTGAAGACGACCTGCCCTGCATCCGTGAAACCGTTGTAACATTCAAGCTTCGGCCCTCCCTACCCACACGTTCGTGGATGCGATAGGGAGGAGTTATGTGTAAGGAAAGGGATGGAGGACGAGGACGAGGGGATGGAGCTCGACGAGGACGACGAGCACGAAGGGGACGAGGAGAACCGACGACGTGGATGAGAAGGAGGGCGAGGACGAGCAGCGGGAGCAGGTGCAATAAGCAAAGCAGAGGCAGCTTAATTTGGGGAGGAGGGGGCAGAAAGAGGGAGGTGGGGCAGGGAGGTTGCAGGAGCCAGAGGAGAGGTACGCAGTAGAAGCCAGGGTCATCGCGGGCGTGAGGGGGAAGGAACGAGGGTGTGGATGGACCAGACTGATCAAATCGTGCAGGCGAGGGTGATAATGAGGAGAGACCATTTTGGTTGCTCATTCGTTCCTTCGCAGAGCCGAAATGAGGATCAACCTGGAGATGAGCTCTTTTTGTTCGGAAAGTGTCGGTGCTTGGCTTTTCCTCGGCCCCTTCAGCACATCTTAGCCGAATTTCAGGAAAGTGGCTTCGTTTCTTCTGGGAGGCTGCACGCTGATGCCCCTCCCTTGGCTGGTGCCTTCCCGGCGAAACGTCGTGGCGCGCCCTTAAAGCGCGGCGCAGCCAGGCATCAGTGCCTGGTGATCACGTCGATGCCGGTCAGCGAGGTGGTGACCCCGCAGGAGCGGCATGCCCAATTCGTCGTCATGGCGCAGAGTGGGGGAGTGGGGGAAACTTACCCCGACCCCCCCATATGGCGGGGGCTAAACAGCACTGGGCATTTACTAAACAGTCCTGCCCTGTTCTCGGGAGTCCCCAGCCGGTGCGGTGACCATACAGTGTGGTGAGTCATTGGGTATTCGGGATGGCCGCACGGTTTCGGGACTTGAAGTTATTCTCCGAGGCTGCCTCGGGCTATTGGGAAATCCAAGGAGCCAAACCAGTAGAGCGGAGACGGACCGCGCGATGAGGTCCGTCGGGATTTTGAGGTCACCGCTCGGTGTGTCACCAAACTGCTTTGAAGCCCAGTGTTCGATTCTTCAATAGGTGCGTTCATTAAACGGCTTCGTTTGTTGGGGTGCAGATTGCGAGGGCAATGCCAGAATGCAGTAGTTGTTCTGTGCTCCGGTCGCTTCCAGTATTCGGTCTTTCATGATATATTGAGCTGCCGTGCCCGTTTTGACGCGATACGAGCCTTGGGTGTGTATCGTAGCTTGAATTGTACTGGTCCTGGTTCCCTCCTTCTTTCTCCTCCTCCTCCTCCTGCTCCTCCTCATCCTTCTCATATTCCCCCCTGCCATTATCGAATCATCTCTATCGTGTTGTGTGTATTGCACTTGTGTTGGCTGTTTGAGCCTCGGGAAATGTTCGGCCTCTGGAAATGCTCGCATTCGTCACGGTCCCTTCCTCTCAGGCCAAGGTTCACTGCATGAGTTTCCCTAATTATGGCAGGTCGGTTCGTGTGAGGTTTCTGGTTTGCCTGGCTACGTTTTCCGTCGTGCAGCGGGGAGATAACTAACCTAGTTATTGCCATGCTCTCCGCTCCAAGTGGGGGAATTCCATTACTCCAGATTTCGTAATAAAGGGAGGGGGGTCTCATTTCGGGCGCCGGGCAAGGGCTGCTAAATCGTCCTCCCGGGAAGAAGCCCGTTGACTGTTTCGCGTGCCGCGCCTCATTCCGGGAAGTTGTTTTTTCCTTCCGGGAGGGCTGTTTTAGCAGCCACGGTTTTAGCAGCCCTCGCCCAGCTTTCGAGCGAAGAGGGGGGGGGGACAATCAGACCCCGAATCGCCCATTCATCGCCGATCGGGGCCCGATGGCCCTACCCGCCCAGGAGCGTGCGGGTTTGCTATCCGGGGCCTATGGCTGATCTGCCGGCGATGCCTCGCCGATTTCAGTTCGATGCTTCCACCACCACCCCCTCTCCTCCTCCTCCTCCTCCTCCTCCTCCTTTCCCTCCTCATCCTCCTCCTCCTTCTCCTTTCCCTCCTCCCCCTTTCCCTCCTCATCCTCCTCCTCCTCCTCCGTGAGAAAACGCAGACCTGGATAAGGGCGCGCGGATCAGCGACGGGTCCCGCGATCGACGGGATCTGAGGATCTGGAGCCCACGCGCCAGATCCACAGATCCGTCCTCCATGTCCTGTCTGTGCCCGAGTGTAGGGGGCGGATGGGGATTGGGCGCTGAAGAAGGACGAGGCGGATGACAAGGAGAAGGCAGAGATCGGATCGGAGTTCCTCGAAAGAGCCTCCAGAGAAGCTGCTGCCAGGGGCGTGTCGCCTCCCAATCGTGGAGGAGAATGCAGAGGTTGATGAGGATAGGGGGCGGAGGTGCAAGACGGGGTGCATGCGGCGAATGTGGTGGGAGAGGTGGACGTAGCGGAGGATGAGGAAGGATGGCAATGACAGTTAGGATGGCGATGGCATGACATCGACGGTGGTCATCGTGGCAGTAGTGATGATGATGGTGGTGTTGTTGATGATGTTGATGTTGTTGGTGATGTGATGATGATGTTGATTATGGTGGTGATGATGATGATGTTGGTATGGATGATGATGGTGATGATGGTGGTGAGGATGATAATGATACTGCTGATGATGATGATGCTGATGCTGCAGATGGTGTTGTTGCATATCATGATGATGGTGGTGAAGGTGATGGTTATGATGTTGATGCTGATGATGATGGCGATGACGATGCTGATGCTATGATGATGATGCTGATGATGATGCTGATGGTGGTAGTGATGATTATGCTTATAATGACGATAATGCAGATGATGATGATGCAGATGATGATGATGATGATGATGATGATGCTGATGATGATGATGATGATGATGCTGAGGAGTAGGATGAGGATGATGATGATGATGATGATGATGATGATGATGATGATGATGCAGATGATGATGGTGATGCTGCTGATGATGATGATGATGATGATGGTGGTGGTGATGGTGCTGGTGATGGTGACGGAGACGGTCATGATGATGACGATGATGGTGATGGTGATAGTGATGATGATCATTATTGTAATGGTCGTGTCGAGGAGAATGAGGATGGGGAGATAGATGTAAACCGCTAGTCCGAGGGCGAAGGCGAGAACGATGTCGATGACGAATATGATGATGATGATGATGAGGAGGAGGAGGAGGAGGAGGATTGCTATGATGGTGATGGTGATGGTGATGGTGATGATACTGATGAAAGTGATACTGATGATTGTGTTGCTGATGTTGACGATGATGATGATGCTGATGCTGCTGAAGATGGTAAGGATGATTCATTAGGCTTACGCCACATCCGACGACTCCTTCACAGACGTCTTGCGCGTTGCGGGGTCTTTGGGATCGGGTCCGAGGGTTTTCGCTTTGGCAGTTGGTTCGAAGCCTTCAGGGTTCATCGTTTTGCGTTGTCGGACGAAGTTCGGAGGTGTCAGAGGGACCCTCTGGGCTCTTCGGCCGATTGGTCCGATCGTGAGAGCCGGAAAGACCAGATCACACATCCATTCGACAACCGAGCTGATTTGGGCGTGTCGGCGTGTTCGGCGCGTGGTGGGGGGTATGACACGGGGGGAGAAGTCGCCGCCCGCAGGGAGATCCAACGGGAATTGGGGTCATAAGCCGTGTTTCTTGGTGTCGTATGGGACGGGGGCGCTCGGGAGCGCCTCCCACGGCCCCCGAAGGCCGGAAAGCTCTGACCCTCGATCGTCGAGCCCTTCAGTCCTGGGTGGGGGTCGTGGAAGGCACCGGCGGAGGAGGGAGAGGACAGGGCCGACTCTTCATGATGTTTCGTCGAGATTCGAGGCTTGAGATTTTTGACATTTTTCTTTGTTTTGCGCTTCCAGGCGGCTCTTCGTCGCAACGGCTGCAGTCCTCCCAGGAGTTGTAAGGGAGTGGTCTGCCCAGAGCTCTTCGCGTCGATGACAAAGTCACGACGGGAGGTTTTTGGCAGTTTTCGGGTTCTGAACGCGATTTCCCAGTACCGGGGCCGTCAGAAAACGAGTACTCTATGTGTCCCTCAATAGTTCTGCGGGTACCTGTAGTCTGGGAGGGTACCTGTAAACCAGGGGAGGGGTACCTGTAGTCTGGGGGGTGTACCAGTAGTCCGGGGGGGGGTTCTGGGGGGAACGCGTAATCACGCGTCAACGCACGCGTGTATATAGTCCTGTGGGGGTGGTACCTGTAGTCCGGGAGGGGGTACCTGTAGTTCGAGGGGGGATACCTGTAGTTCGGGGGGGTACCTGTAGTCCGGGGGAGGGGTTATCTGTAGTTCGGGGGAGGGAGTACCTGTAGTCCCTGGGGTACCCGTAGTCCGGGGACCCAGAACTATTGAGGGACACAGAGTAGGGCTGCAAAACTGGTCCAGGGGTAAGGTCTCCAGACCTCTAGGGGCCGACGCTTTCAACAAAGTCACGACGTCGGAGGTCGGAGTTTCTTGAGGTCGGTCCAAGGGTAGCTACGTTCGCACGTACCGACGCGCGTTGCGCGAATATCTTCGCGGTCTCGTGCCGTGTTCCAGGGGGGGAAAGGGGAGAACGAGACGGTCGGAAATTGACGAGGTGCCATTCAGTCTTCTCGGTTTCGGGGGGTGCGCTGCGATTCTCGGCCGCTTTCGGGGCTTCTTGGAGGAGCTCGGACCCAGAGATCCATTGTCTTGTTTTTGTTGGAAGACGCGGTCCCTGGAAACTTCCCTGGAATCGTTTTACGCAGACTCTCGGGGGCCTCGTGGACGCAGTTTTGAAGTTTCTCGGGGCTCGGTTTTGGGCATCTTGGCGCATCGTGGGGGCCTCTTGGTGGCCTCGTGGGGCTGCTGGGGGGTCTCTTAGGCCCATCTTGGGAGTGCTCTTGGGATCCTCTTGGGGCGTCTTGAAGCCCTCGCGTCTTGGACCAGTCGTTCGTCCACATAGGGCCCTCGTGGACCTTCTTGAGGCCGTATTACAAGCCCTGACGACAGTCTTGGAACGACCAAGCAATGCCAGGGGACTTTCGGGGTGGACCACCACCCGGGGCCCGGGGCCCGGGGCAGGGGGGGGGTCAAAGACCTGGTTTGGGGTCTTAGGGGGCACGCCTAGAGACACAAGGGGTCGGTGGATACTGAGGATGGCTACGAGGAGAGGAAGGAGGAGGACACTAAGGAGGAGCAGGAGGAGGAGGAGGAGGAGGGAGATGGTGAGGATATCTACGGGGAAACATCAGACGTGGGCAAGGCACATGAGAAGCTTCACGAGGCTCTGGGAGGCGGAGGAGCGCGAATGGGGTACGCCGAGGAGTGCATCGATATCTCGATGGAGTTCTTCGGGAAGCCGCGGGCTGCAAGTGGCGACATCGCCACCAAGGCCGCCCGCACGTGCCTCCGCCCTCTCGGCGATGCTTTCGGTGTTTGCCCCCATTGGTGCAGGAGTGCCCTACCCGCGCGATCGCACTGCTTGCCGAGGGGGAAGTGGGCAGCACCAGGAGCCAGAGGGGTGAGACGGAGGAGAGGGTTTGCCGCGATAAATGGGGGGGGGGGCGCGATGCATTGGAGGGTTTTCAGAACAGGGGCCCTTCAGAACCCTGAAAGGGGCCACTTAGAGCCTGATACGGGCACCCCTTTCTCCCCCCTCATTCATCGCGCCTCCATGAATTCGCGCCCAGAGCAGGAGGATGGGGAGCGACTTCTTTTCGGAAGAGTGGGCAGCCTCGGTGGGCTTGAGATGCTCGCACGGCTCCGCGTACTTGGACATCCTTGAGGTTCCCCGAAGAGCGGGTCAGGATCGGCCCTGGGAGGGGCCCAGAGATAAATTTTGATCAGTTTTGGCTTGAGCGGGGAGCCCCCGTTGTCTCATTTGACTCTCATCCGATCGATTGTCGAAGGGTCGCGCGGATTGTTGGACTCTACATTGGGCCCCCCGGGCAGCGCCTCTGGCAGACCCTGTGTGCAGCTCCTCCAGCACCCGCGCGGTCCGCGCGCACAGGGGAAAGTCACACAGCGCGTTCCCGTACTTGCAAAACGACTATTCGCAAACGTCCTCGACAAGAGCAGCTCTTCGTGGAGTGCGCTTGTCCAGAAAATGCGAGGAGGAGCAGGAGGAGGAGAAGGGAGGTATGCTCCTCCGAAAGTATGCTGGTGGCCTCTGCGGAGGCTTCCGCGTTTCCTCTGCTCCGCCCGCCAGGCCAACACGGGAGAGGCGCAGTGCACGACGGTGGTTGTCTATTTCCAGGACAAGGACGACAAGGCGCACCATCCATTCCCCTCCTCCTCCTCCTCCTCCTCCTCCCTCCTCCTCCTCCTCCTCCTCCTCCTCTCCCTCCTCCTCCGCCTCCTCCTCCTCCTCCTCCTCCTCCTCCTCGTGGCTCCATCTCATATTCGTTATCCTTACTGGTTCTGGCGGCCTCGGTCGGGCGTGGCTCGTATCCCCAATCACCGACATCCCTTTATTCCTCTCCCCAGATGGCTCCTCGTTGTCTCCGTCTTCCTCGCCACGCCTCCCTTCCACTCCACCTCGCCTTCTCCCCAGGATACTTGCTTCCTCACATGTTCCTCATCTTTCCTCGTCATTCTTCTTTACTCCTCGTCCGTCTTCCTTCTACCCCCTACCGTCCTTCGCTCGGTTGCGTCGGTCCGTCGGTCTCCCGCCACCCCGCCGTTTGTCTGCTCGGGCGCCCTCGTCGTTTCGTCACCTCGTCACTCAGTGGATCCTGAGCGGAGCGCAGGACCAAACAACTCCTCCCGCCTCCCCCCATTTCCCCTCGGTCTCCTCTGCAGCCTCCGCCCCCTTCAGGGGCAACGCTTGAGGGGGGCGAACTCAGTGAGGGAGGCATCGCCAATCGCGCATTGATCGCCGGTAGGGGTCTGTCGCTGATTCAAGGTAGTTGTTTGTCCCCTGAGTTGGTCCCCCCCTAACGTTGCCCCTCACCCCCTGCGAGGCTTCGGCGGCGGTGCCGCCGCCCGCAAAGAAGGCGAAGCCCAACGAGAGCGTTCGTCTGCGGCATATCGTAGTGAAGCACATGGACCCGCCCGGCAGGGGCTGAGGGGGAGTGGGGAGCACGGCGCGGCTGCCTCATCATTGGCTAAACCTCCATGGACATGTCTGGCTCATCGACCTTTTCACCCAGCATCGGCATCGTCAGTCATCATCATCATCATCATCATCATCATCATCATCATCATCATCATCATCATCATCAGCATCATCATCATCATCATCGCCGTCGTCAGCATAACCGTCAGTATCATCCCCACTGCTTGTATGATCCTCGTCCTCATCCTCCTCGACTTCTCGCTGCTGTAGGCAATGCGACCTCCAAGCAGGCGCTGCCTTGCCCTGCCCCGCCCTGTGCCGTCTGGCACGGGGCGGGCCAACCTCTGAGAACAGCTACAGGAGGAGGAGCGGACGACATGGGACGGCGGACGACGACGAGGCGAGGCTCCCCGTGGGGAACGACGAGACGGGGAAGCAGGGAGGAATGACCATTTGGCTTTGCATTATCGACACAATCAGCAGAGTCGCCCTTCCCGGCTGTTTCGTCCACCCCCCCGCACGCACGAGTCTGGGAGGAGGTCCTGGACGATGCGAGCTAAGGTCCGAGGCCCCGCCTTTGCAAGGCGGCGAGTGCACACTTGTTTTACCATCCGTAGAGGGGCCCAGCGGCGAGAACGGGTGACAACAGAGCGCAGAGAAGCCGGAAACGAGGAAGGAGGAGGAGGAGGAGGAGGAGGAGGAGGAGGAGGAAAAGTAGGAGGAGGCGGGGAAACAAGAAAGCACAGCAGCGCGCCGGCGAGCGCGAGGGGCCAGCGGCAGCCCAAAGCGGCCGCCGCGCAACTAATTAACTAATTAGTCTGGCGCGCCTGGGCGCTCCAGCAGGCGCCGTCGCACAGCCGCCCACCACGCCGCCTCGCGGCCCCCGGCGCGCGGGGCATCCAGGAGCAGCAGGCCGGCCGCCCGCGGGGGCAGGTGCGGCGCCCATCCGCTGCACGGGCGGCCCGCGAGGCGCTCCCAGCGCGGGACCCAGCACCCGCACGCCATGCAGGCCACCCACGCGGGCCCTTGGGAGGCGACGTGCCCCCGCCAAGCGCTGCAGGCGAACAGCGCCCTCGCCGCGGCGGCCGCCCCTGGGCCTGGCGCCGCGCGCGCCTGTCCCTGCTCCGCCTCTGGGGCCACCGCGGCCGCAACCGCAGTGTCGTCCGCCACGCGGGGCACGCGGCGGCGGCGATGCCCCGCCTGCGTCCAGCGCCGCCGCACGCGCGGGCCTCCAGGGCCGTGCCCGTGGTTGGCCTTGAGCGCCGCGAGCTCCACCGCGGCGAGAACGCGCTGCACGGCCATGAGCGCGATCAGCTGCAGCTCGCGCTCCTGGCGCAGCGCCAGCGGAGGCAGCCGGGCCTCGGCTGCCACCCCGGCGAGGCGGTCGGCCGCGGCGTTGCCGGAGCGGTCCTATGGCGACACACCTCGTGCCTGGGCCTCCGCGGCGTCAAGGTGCCCCTTAACCCATCGCACGGCTAGCGCGTCGCTGCGGCAGTGAGGAACGATCAACTCCCACAGGTCTGCGTGGGCCCAATCCTCGGTGGACACCCCAGCCTTGATCGCCGCGACGCCGTTATTGACGAAACGAGAATCGGTCACTATCTCGACGGCGCCGCCTGCCAGGCTGACGGCATGCACCGCTGCCGTGAGCTCGGCGCGCTGCGCGGTCTGCGTGCCGTCGACAGGCCCGCGGTGCTCCTGACGGCCAGCGCCCTGGTCCAGCACCACACACCCCACCCTGCCCTAGCGAGGAGGGGGTCGGTGGGGTGCACGCAGCCACCGTCCGTCCAAGCGCGCGCCCGGGGTGGCTCAGCATCGCGGGCCTGCAGGGTTGGGCGCGGCAGCGGCCAGTGCGCCTGGTCCGCCAGCGCAGCCAGCTGCGGGTGCCGGGCAACACCCCGGTGAGCGACGTCTGGGCCGGCAGCCGCGCGCGCGCGCCTCGGCGCGGGTAAAGAAGCCCTCGGGGACCAGCGCGGCGGCGCGCGCGGGTTCCCAGCAGGGACAGTCCCAGAAGCGGTGCTCGAAGTCGTCGCACGCCGCGCCGCAGTGCGGGCATGCCGCAGGGCGCCCCCATTTCGCCGCCACCGCCTCCGTGACGACGTTTCCGGTGAGCACGGCGCGGAGGGCCCCCGCGGCGTCGGCCGCCAGCTCCCCGCCTTCGAGGGGCCGCCCGGTTGCCCACCTATCGATTCCAGTGTCTAGGTGTCGAAAGCTGGCGCGCCGCCCTGCCACCTCACGGGCCTCGTGGGCTGCCCAAGCACGGAGGAGAACCGCGCGCGTGTCGGGCAGGGCGCGGTCGGCCAGGCGCCAGCCGCCAGGCGAGGTGGCCACGCCAGTCCAGCACTCGACAACGGCCCCCAACTGCAACTCCGCCAAGCTCCGGATCGCCGCGTCCACCGGGCCAAAGCCGCGGCCGTGCCCCGCGGCCATGGCGCCAGCGGCCCGCCCGCCTCCAGAGCTCCGCTGGGAATCGGCGCTTCCGCATGGCTTTGACGACCTGCCACAGCGGCGCGATGATCGTCACCGCCGCCGGGTCCAGCCGCCAATTCGGCGCCAAGACGCCGAACACGATCTCCGCGGCCGCCCGGAAACCGCCCCGGCAGACGGCGTGCCGTGCGGCGGCGCGAAGCCCGGCCAACTCGCGCGCCGGGGGGCTTCCGCAGGCCGCGCCGTAAAGGCCCGCAGCAGTGCCCGCGGCGGCGCCCAGCACGCAGCGCTGGCGAAAACTGACGGGCAGCCGGCCGAGTCTGGCAAATCGGCCCTGCGCGACGACCAGCCGGCCGGCGGAGACGGCGCAGCGGCGCGCCCTGCCGGCAGTCGCGATGACCCCAAGGTCCTTGAAATCCGCGCGCGCCTGGATGCCTGGGGACTTCTCCTGCAGCCACTGTCGCAACGCCTGGCGGCTTGCGAATTGGCGGCTTTTCGTCCGGTTGAGCCTCCACCCCATTGCCGTCTCGAAGGCGTCTGTCGTCCGCAGCGCCTGCTCGAGCTCCTCCGCCGCCTCGTCAGCGCGGTCGGCGGCCACGCGGGCCCACAGGGTGAAGTCGTCCACATACACCCGCAAGCGAAGCAGGTCGCCCAACCTCGCGGCACGGCGAGCCCAAGGCCGGGCCAGCACCCCCAGCACGAACACGGCGAGCGGACAACCTGGCAGCAGGCCGCGCGAAGGCGCGCGGCTCCCCGATGGCGCTGTCGACGCGCGCCCGGCGGCGGGCTCCGTAGGCGCGCAGGGCTGGGCGGGCGAGCCACGGCGGGGCCCCCGCCCGCGCCAGCAGAACCGGGAGCGCCCCCAAGTCCACCTGGTCGTGCGCATTGCTCCAGTCGAGGGCTGCGCCGACGACCTCCTCGGACAGGGCACCGGCGGCCTCGAGCTCCAAGGCTTAGCTCCCATGCCTGCTCCTCTGCGCCGCGCCGCCAGGAATCTCTCTCCCAAGAGCAGCGCCACTGCGCGAAGAGACGGGCACGCCCTGCCGCCCAAAGCCGATGAAGAATCGGGAGGAGCCAGATCGGCCGGCGCTCCAGCGGGCCTTGGTCGCCACCAGGCTTCGGGAGCAGCAGGCCCTCCGCTTCGGCGAGCTCGCGCGGCCGCTCGCCGCGGGCCTCCACCTCCTCGAACAGGTCGGCGATCCACCCGTGCAGCTCGGCAGGCAGCAGCCGGAGCTCGCCGACAGCCCGAGCGTCGAGCCCTGGCTTCTCCCGCTTTGGCATTCGCCGCAGCAGCCAGCCGACCACCCCTGCTGTCCAGGGGGGCCGGTCCGGGAATGGCGGGAGGCCATCGAGCTCCTGCAGCCACTCCTCCGCGACTGGAGGGGCGGGCGGAGCCTGCCAGATCGCCTTCCACGGCCCCTCGTAGTGCCGCAGGCGCGCCGCAGGGCCGCCCTGCAAGGCGAGCAACCGCGGGCGGCTGCCAGGAGCTTCCCCGCCAGACCCACCAGCAGGCACGAGCTCAGCGTCTATGTTGCCGCCGCTGCGGATCCAGCGATACAGCCGCCCCTGGCGGTTCTCAAGCGAATCCGCCACCCAGCGGTGCCATTCGGCCTGCCGGCGCGATCGCGCCGCCGCGCGCGCCAGCTGCCAGGTCGCCTCGGCGCGCACCACCATCGCCTCAGGCGTCCAGCTGCAGCGCCGCCATCGCCGGGGCCCAATCCGGGCAAGCGGCATCAGCCGAACGGAGCGCCTGAATGGTTGCCGCCGAAGCCTGCCGGGCGGAAACAGTAGTGCGCCCCAGCGTCATCCGAAGGTTGCGGAGACGCCGGAGTCGCAGCAGCGCCGCGTCCGCAGCAGCTTCGGCGGCCATCCCCCCGCCCGGGGAGGGAGGGCGCTCGGCGCGCATGGCCGAGGCTGCATGGGGGCGCGCTCGAGTGACCGCCAGGCCCATGCGCCACGCGAGCCAGAGACGCATCGCCCCGTCGAGCTGTTGCCAAGCCTCGTCCAGGTTGTGCTCCGCAAGTGCCCGCCGGAAATCCCGCTCGAAGCGCCCCAGGACTGCGGCCGTGGCGTCCCGGGCGGTTGCTGGTGACCAGCCCTCACCAGCCGGCCCGTCCAACGCCGGCACTGGTTGGCGAAGTCTCGCAAGTGCTGGAGCCTGCACGCGCAGCTCGTCGCCAGCCCGAGGTCCCACCGCAGGCCGACCGAGCGGACCATGTCCAGCGCGGCGGGGCTCGCCAGCACGTAGTCGATCAGCGAGGGGCTGCCGCTGGAAGGGACGCAAGTGGGCCCGAGCGCGGCCAGCAAGTCCCTCCAGCCAGCCAGGCCGAGCAGCGCGTCGAGCCCGACCTCCGACAGGCTGCAGTTGAAGCACACTTGTTGCACCAACCGCAGAGCGTCCACTGGCCGAGAAGGAAGGGGGAAGAAGAGCAGGAGCAGGAGGAGGAGGAGGAGGAGCAGGAGGAGGAGGAAGAGGAGGAGGAGGAGGAGGAGGAGGAAGGAAAGCAGGCTTTGCGGGCGCAACGCAGCCTGGCCCCTGCCCTGCGCATCAACAAGCAGCACGGCCGGCTCGCGGCGAACGAGCCGACCTTAGCCGTGCGCGTCGGATCGCGCCTCCAGGTGGCCTCTCAATTCCGCCAGCGACCCGACTTCGGCGCCCCCCTTCTGCTGCGGGGCCAGCAGCAGCAAGCTGGCCGCCCTTGGCGGCTGCACGGGCGCCCACCTGCTGCATGGCCGGCTGTTCAAGCGCTCCCAGCTAGGGGCCCAACAGTCGCACCGAAGGCATGCGATCCAGCTGGCCCTGGGGCGGCGACGTGTGACCTCCGAGTCCGGCCAGCGAATGGCGCGTGCGCGCCGCCTCTGCTGCTCGCGGCCGCTGCACGGCGTCGGCCAAGCCCCTATGCCCAGGCGGCGCCGCTGCGGCCGCGACTGCGGCGTCGCCCGCCATCCGGGGCACGCGCCGTCTCGGAGGCCCAGTCCAGCGGCGCCGCAAGCGGGACCTGGCCCGTCGTGGGGTTCGCCTCCAACGCCGCCAGCTCGACGGCAGCGAGCATCCGCTGCAGGACCTTGAGAGCGTGCAACCGGACCGCGCGCCCCTTCAGGATGCCCGCGTGCGGCAGAGGCTCTGCTGCAAATTCCCCTGCGAGCCAGTCTGCAGCGGCGCTGCGGAGGCGGTCCTCCGAGACCCCGTGCGCCGCGGCGGCGTCCGCGTCGAAGTGGGCCTCGACCTACGCCATTGCGAAACCGGAGCAGTAGGGCACGAACTGCTACCAGAGGTCGGCGTGCGCCCAACATTGCGGAGACGCGCCGTGGCCGAGCGCCGCCATACCATCTCGGACATGTCGCAAATCCGTGATCGCCTCCACGGGCCTGCCCGCGAGGTGTACGGCTGCGGTGACCTCGCCGCGCTGGGCGGTCTGCACGCCGATCACGGGACCGCTGCGGTCCTCTCGCGACGTCCTGGGCATCCCCAGATGCACGTCCTAGCCGGCGCGCGCGAGTCGCGGGTCCTTCGGGTGTTCGCATGTCCCGTCCGTCCAGGCTTCGGTTCTCGAGATATCTCCATCCAGCGGCAGCGCGGGCGCGGGAAGCGGGCGGGAGGTCGGCGCGAGCGGCGGCGGCCAACGTGGCCAGGCCGGCGTCCGTCGGGCTTGATCACGCCAGAGTTTGCGACTCCCCGTGGCAAACGAGCCTGGAAGGCAGCCACCGTCATTCTGCCCGCAGCGGGAGCCACAGCGACGATCTTCGAGGTGACGTTCCTGGCCAGCACGGCGCGGAGGGCCCCGGCGGCGTCGGGGGCGAGCTCGCCGTCGCGGAGCAGACGCTGTGTTGCCCAGGGATCGACGCTCTCGGCGACTTGCGCGAGAAGTCAGGCCGCCGCGCCGCCATCACGCGAGCCTCGCGCCTCGCGTCGTCTGGGAGGGCGCGGCCTGCGGCCTCCATCCTCGACCAAAAAATACACGACACCACCCCCACCTACGGCCCTTCATGTTGCGCCACGGCCCATCTGGCGCCGTAGCGTATACCACGCAAAAACCCACGCCAGAGCTCCTGGCATACGATAAGCTGCGTGGGCCCGTAGGCGGGGTGGTGTCGTTCGTTTTCTGGTCCACATTCCGCGGGAGCCGCGGGCACGCGGCTCCAGACATCGATGTCCGCCCCGAGCTGCAGCACAGCGAAGCTGCGTGCCGCCGCGGCCATCGGACAAGGCAGCGGCCGCGCCCGGGCGCCCTGGCACTGGCGGCTGCGCGCCACAGGCGGCGCGTGCACACACGGGCGAGGGCTTCGATTAGCTGGGCGCTCTGAGCACAGCAGGGCAGGCACCATAGCTCAGGAGGGGGAAAAACACAGACACAATGAATCGTGGACTCCCAAGAATATATAGGAAAATATGGGAAGCGAGGGGGATGACGAAAACTGACCAAATATTTGAAAATATCGGAAATCCTGCGATTCGTGTCTATTTATTTGTGTGTCCCTGGGCCCCTTTAATCACGCATGCTTGCTTGCCCTCTGGGGACCACCCCAGTCCATGGACAACCCGAAGGGCTCCCCCGGGAGGGCAGGAGAGGAAACGGGACAGAGGGGCGAGGGCAGCCGGGTGAGGCGGCAGAACGAGGAAACGTCATGGTGGGGCCGAGGTGGGGTAGTCGGTCCCGCCGCGCGTGTACTGCGGGCGCCGCGCACGGCCACCGCCACGGCCGCCCTGAGCGCGAGGCGGTCTCGGGCGCACGCGGCCTACCTCCTCCTTCTCGGAGGGGGAGCGAGGTGGTCGACAAAGCGTGACGCCGCGGGGTGGCGGCTGCGGCGTGACTCCCCCGCCTGTGGACCGCCTCGCTCCTTTTTCGCCGTCCCCCTGGCCAGGGCCACCGCAGGGCTCGGCAGCGGGCCGGGTGCATCAGCCACCATAGGGCGCTGCCACACGACCGCACCGGAGGCCACCGTAGGGTTTCAACGGTGACCAGGTGTGGGTGGGGGGGACGGGCAAGCGGGATTTCATGGAACTCAGTGCCTTCAATAGAACACCCCACCACCCATGGCGCAGTACGTGCGGTGTCGGGGGGGCGGCCAGCACACCCACTCTCCCACCATAGGGGAGGGTGCGAAGTCCCTGTGTGCGGGACGGGGCGGGCAAGCGCCCGCACACTTCCTGCCCGCCCCCCTTGGGGTTCTCAAGAGTCGCCCCGCGTTCCCCCCCTTTCGAGCCGAATCGAAACGAATGGGCAGGGACAAAGCGTTGGAGAAGGGCTACGCAGGGGGGGACCTGGGATTAGGAGAAGACGGAAGCCCGAGAGGAGGCGAGGCAACAGTGGAAGACACGGATCCCCTTTTCGAGTTCCAACTGTTCTCCCCGTCCTCCCTCCGGTCCCGATCTCCTGCCGTTCTCCAGCACCCGCCCGCCGGAGGGCCCCGCGTGCCCTCCCCCCGGCTGCTCGCTGAGGACTGCGCCCAGCCGTTCGACCCGGTACGGAACAGGCCCGTGGCGCGATCACGGGAAGAGGCTCCGGCCCCCGCGCCCGGGGGACCCTGCCAATGCCGGAGGAGGGCCAGCCGAGCCGTCGAGACAGCGGGGGGCTTTCCAGGCGTTGTGGTCCTCGTTGGTGTTGGGCCCTCGTCTTCAAGCGACAGCGCTTCGCGTCGTTTCTTCCTTGCTTCGTCTCTCCTCCTTCCTGCTCCCGCTCCCCCCTCCCCCTCCCACCCCTGCCTCTGCCCTCATCGTGCCCATGTCGGCACACATCTCACTCATTTCGTGTCCCCAGATGGGGGCACCAGCTAAGGCCCAAATGCCAAAGACCGCATGACGGCGCCGCCTCATTTCGGCACACCCCTCCCACGTTCCTCGTGGCTCCACAGAGCCCAAAGCAAGACTCAAATGCCGAAATCCGCATGACGGCGCCGCTCCATTTCGGCACGTAACTTACACGCTTCGTGGCCCCACCTGGGGACCCCAACCAACGCCCAAATGCCAAAGGCCGCATGGCGGCGCCGCCTCATTTCGGCACAACCATGACACGTATCGCGATTCCGTAGGGAGCTCCACCGAACGCCTCAGCAGCAGCGCTTGCATGGCGTACCCTCTCCCACGATCCGGTATGCCCCTCACGCGCTTCGTGCCCCCGTAGGGGGCCCCACCGCGGGCTCTGGTACCAGGGTCTGCATGGTGAGTGGGTACGGCGCTGCCTCCCCTGGGCGGCGCGTCTGGCGCCGCCCCTGGCGCGCTCCGCACGCCAGAGTGGGGGGTCCATCGCCAATCCAAAAGAGATCCGTGCGGACCTCAGACACTTTCTGTTTATACAGTTGCTGTCTGTGTCCAGTTATGCCACGTCGAAATGTCAGGAGGATTTGGGCAGCTCTCTAAGTGGCGGTCCTTCCTTGTGCTTGGCGTGGTCTGGTCGTGGACTCCGCGTGGACTGCACGCCCAGCCAGCGCGGATGCGACGGGGTTAGCGGCGAGGTGTCATGGGCAAAGTCTCCCAAATCAGCATCGTCTAACGTGTTTCCGTCCCCACTGCGCCATGGTACATCAGCACCACTAGCCCACAGTCCTAGGTGGGCACATTATTAACCCGGGTCGAGGGTTCTGGGATGGATCACAGGGTTCCACAGACCGCCCCCAGATAGGCTGGGGGCGGCCGGCGACGATGACGACGACGACGGCGACGACGTCGACGACGACGACGACGACGACGACGGCGGCGCCGACGACGACGGCGCCGACGACGACGATGACTACGACGACGATGACGAGGACGAGGACGACGGGACGACGTCGAGGACGACGACGACCACGAGAACGACGACGAACCACCCCACACCCACCACCACGCTACGCCCACTGGGCCACGACCACATGGCGGTGGGGGGTCGATCCCATGCGCGAGGCTTTCGCGAGGCTCACGGGCGTACTGGGGGGGCGGCCGATCCCTTAAGCATTATTGGGGGGTGCTGAGGGGGAGGAGCCCTGGATCATATATCCCCACCTAGCTGGGTAAGTCGACCAGTGGGGCCAAGGCCACGCCAGTGGAAGTAGAGTAAACGGTGCTCACCGAAGGTTTGGCATGTGTTGTCCTCGTTCCTCCCTTGAGATGGTGGTGACAGCGACGGAGGAGGAGGAGAGGGATGAGGAGGAGGAGAAACAGACGGAGACAGATGATAGGAGCGATGAAGTGCGGAGATAGGAGCTGGAGGGAAGGGGACGACGAAGGATGAGCAGGGGCAGCAGGAGCCGGCAGTGGAGGAGGAGTGGTGGCGGGGGGACGAGGAAGAGGACAAGTGATTGAGACGATGTAGCTGGCGTTGAGGGCAGTAAAGGGCGAGAGGAGACAGCGACGGAGGAAAGCTCACACATATCGAGAGATCATGGAACAGCAGCTGCCCATCCAGCCACATGTTCGAGAGGTTCGCTCCGATTCGCCGCCACCGGCGGCGCGGGGGGGCCGACAGAGCCCAGCCCTCCGCGGCAGCAAGCTGCCGTGCGGCTTCCGTGTTCGCACTCGGGCGGGTGAAGAGGTTGCAGTTGGACATCCAATCAGAGGAAGAAGCGGTACCGATACCGTTACACTTCCTTCGTCGCCACGGTTGAAGTCAGCTCGAAAGTTCGGTCAGCAAGCACCGCAGAAGAGGCCCGTGCAGTCGCGACATCGCTGTCTTTCTGTTCCCCAGTCATGGGAGGAACACCTCGACCCCCGTCGTCTTCCAATCAGTCTCGTTCGTTTACTACGTCTAGTCAGCCCTGCCCTGTCCGAGTTCTGTGCTCGTGTGCGTTTAGTGAAGGGCACAGCTCGTGCCGCTCAGACCCACCCACTCGACTCCCTGGACCCCTCTCAGGTCAGTGATTCAAAGATGTGGTCCTGAGGGATGGGATCCTAAGGACAGGAACGGATCCAAGGGTGGGTTTACACTGTTTGAGGTACTTCGTCCTTAGGACCCCATCTCTCAGGACCACATCTTTGAACGACCGACCCAGTCCCTCCCCGTCAATCCTCCTGGCCCCAGACGTTGCGACTGGAGCCGCTGGCGACGCCCAGGACGCTCAAAGGCGTCGGCGGCAGCGGCGCCGGCGTCACGAGAGAACTGCCACCGCAGTCCTCGTAACGTCGATGATGCTGCCGTCGACGCCGTGCGCGAGAGGAGGAAAGGATACTGACACCGCTGCTCGTTCTGGAGAGCCTCCGTTGCCACGGCTAAATCTTGGTCAGGCCGCACCCTAGCAAAGGTCGGGAGAGTAGCAGCACCAGTAGTTTTGAACCCCCCTCCTTCCCGTGACGGAGGGGGGGGTTTCGAACTCCCCCCCCCCCTTCCTCCCATATTTTTCCTCTCTCCCTCTCCTCGGGCCAGCGCCTGCGTCGGCGGCGGCTGGCGGCGGCGGCGGCGGGGACGACGATTTCCTTTTCTGGTCCAGCGCCGGCTCTTGCGGCGGCGGGCGGCGGCGGCGGGAAGAGTCGACGAGGACGACGGTGTTGGTGGTGGTGGGTTGTGGTGGTGGTGGTGGTGGTGGCGGTGGTGGTGGTTCTAGTGGTGGTGGTGTGGTGGTTTGTTGTGGTGGTGGTGGTGGTTGTGGTGGTGGTGGGTGGTGGTGGTGGTGGTGGTGGTGTGGTGGTGGTGTGGTGGTGGTGGTTTGTGGTTGTGGTGGTGGTGGCGGTCTGGTGGTGGCGGTCTGGTGGTGGTGTGGTGGCGGTTTGTGGTGGTGGTCGTGGTGGTGGGTCGTGGTGGTGGCGGTGGTTTGTGGAGGTGGTGCTGGTGGTTGTGGTGGTGGCGGTGGTGGTGGTGGTGTGGTGGTTTGAGGTGCTGGTGGTGGGTTGTGCTGCTAGTATTGGTTGTGGTCGTGGCGGTGATGGCAGTGGCGTGGTAGATTGTGGTGGTGGTGGTAGTAGTGGTGGTGGTTTTTGTGGTGGTGGTGGTGATGGTGAGTTGTGGTGGTGGTGGTTGTGGTGGTGGTGGTGGTGGCTGTGGTGGTGGTGGTGGTTCTGTGGTGGGTTGGTGGTGGTGGTGGTGGGTTGAAGCAGCGGTGCTGGTGGTAGTGGTGGTGCTGGTGGTAGTGGCGGTTACTGTCGCTGCGTCCCCGCCGTCGCCAGCGCACGCGCCGGCGCTGCTCGCCGCACGCGCCGGCGCAGGTGGGGGAGGTGATCCCCCCTCGGCGCAGGGGGGGGACACGCTGACGAGTCCCCCACGACAGCATGCCTTTCGATCGCTTCGTTCACTCCTCAGATCGCGGGTGGTTCGCCGCGAGCTCGTAGCTAATGCGGCGCTGCTGGGCAGCGGTGGTCTGCCTAAGAGGCTTCTAGGGTGCATCAGGGTCTCTTGGGATGCCTTTCGGGGGCCTGTTGGAGGGCTCTTGGGGGCCAGTCTTGGGGGCTTCCTTGGAGCCTTTAGGGACGCATCTTGGTAGCCTCTTGGAGCCTCTCGGGGGTCTCGTTGGGTCCTCTCTGGACCTTCCGGGGAGCCTTTGGGGGCATCTTGTGGCCTCGTGAGCGTCATTTTTGAGCCTGCTGGCGGTCTCGAGGGTCCTGTCTGGGCAGAGGGTTCGAAATGTCTGATCGTGTTCCCCCTCGTGGGGCACTCTGGGACCCGTCGTGAAGTCCTCGTCGACCGTATTGGTTCCTTCTTGGGCCCTCTTGTGGGCATCTTGGAACGATCTCGGGTGTTTCTTGGGCCACTTTGGAGCGTTAGAAGACCAAGAAGACTAGAATGTTACAACCCTTCAGCCCCACAAGAAATCAACGGATTCAGTATCATTGTATTTGTTAGCCCTCGTGAGGGTCCTCGTCGGGCGCTCTTGAAGCATGTTGGAGGCCTCTTGGACCGTCCATAAACCAACTTGGACGTGTCTGAGCCCTGTAGGGCCGTGTCGGACCCTGTTGGGTTCTCCTTCAGGCACCGTGGAGCGTCCTCGGAGCGCTCTTGGGGGCCTTGAATTGAATGCCGCGCCCCGGACGAAACGAGTCGTCAGGGTTGCGCTTGGGGAAGTTTGTCCAGGGTCCCACAGAGGCCGCCCCGCGCGCGCGAACTAGATTCACTGTTAACCCCTAACGGGAGATTCGCCGACAATGCTAGCCGATGCTTGACCCTAGGCAATTTGGCCCGAAGAGCCTCTGGGCGGCGAAACGCGTAGCCTGTTTCTCTTTCCCCTTGAGACTCAATCCAAATCAAGAACAAGTGCACGCCTTGGGCCCGTTGGGCCGGCGAACAGATCTTGTTTTTGTTTGCTCTCCGAGCGGTGGCGGCGCCATTGGCGCGCGCGCGCGGCGCAGGCCGAGGCGGTGCTTCGGACGGCGCTCCGGGAGCTGCTCCTGGAGGCGAAGACGATGAAGACCCCAGCTGGGGAGAAGGCCCCCTCCGCCCCCCTAGAGGGCTGCCGGCGGGCCTCGAAGGCCGCCGATCCCTGCCGGCTTGACGCGCGCGAGGTGCACGCCTGAATGACCAGGCTGGAGAAGCGCGCCCCCCCCGTTGGGCCGCCGAGTCCTGCCGATTCGATGCAGGTCGATTGCCGATTCCCTTTCCCGGTTCGATCTTGGGACATCCTGGAAGGCCCCCACCCCGGCAAGCCGCCGGCGGGCCTCGACGTCAATTGCTACGTACGTCAGGATTTTGGGGCGTGGCGGGCGATGACGGGCTGTGGCCGGGGAGGAGGCCAGGAGCCAGGTCGACTCTGCCGAGTCGAGTCGATTCGGTTGCGAGGATTCCGATTTCGACCCGATTCGACTCTGGATTCCGACCTCGGTTTGGATTTCCTCGTGCATGCCTCGGTTTCGGCCAGCGGACGCCGACTCCGATGCCTTCCGATCCGCCTGCCGGTTTCCAGCCGATTCGATGCAGGTCGACGGCCGAGCCAATTTTACGATTAGAGTTTGGGTCATCCTGGAAGGCCCCCTTTGGCGGGCCGTCGGCGGACCTGTAAGGCATAGCTACGCCAGGATCCTGGGGCATGGCGGAGGACGATGGGCCCAGAGGAACAAGAGACCTTCGAAGCTCCGTGCTGGATTTCTTGGATCGACTTGCAACAATGTTGTTTATTTTTCTGAGGCGTCGGATCTCAGGGTGAAAGCAGGAGGCTCCTGAGGGAAAGGGCCCCTGTGGGTCTGTTCATCGTTCTCGATCTCCCGGGGCCTCTGCCAGGGCCCGCCCCAGGCCCAGGAGCCCTCAACCAGGAAGGGGGAACGTCAGGGAGGGGGGGGGGATGGGCTCGGGTGCTGATGCGTGGACCTCCCGATCGGGGGCCTGATCTCTACCTCGGGCAGGAGCGTGCGGTTTAGCTATCGGGGGTTCAAGCCGATCTATCGGTGACGTATCGCCGGTTCGAGCTCAATGGCTCCCCCTGTGGCAACCCTCCCCGTATCGTTCCCCCCTCGCAGACGAGTTGGTTCCAGAAGAAGACCACAGGGTACAGGGCACGTCTCCGCCAGGGCACTCCCTTCATGGCAGCAGCGGGCCGCCTTCGTCGGTCCTGGGCAAAGATGGTTCACTACCCATCGCTCGTTGACTGTAGGTGGTATTGGGTTCCAGGGATCCTGAGAACGTTAGGTGCTCTCATGTTCCAATAGTTGGATGATGCTCCCTTGTCCTCAATGTTTTGGGGGACAGGCGATGACACAATCCATGGTGAACGCCTTCATACTTCATGTGTCGACCCAGTTCTCCTCAACCATGGCTGCGACGTGTTTCAAATAAGTTCTCCGCCGTCGGGGACGGCCTTCGCAATTCGTCTGGGAAGTGCACACCTTGTTTGCGGCTGGCGGGAGTATGCACTCTCCAGCTGTTTGCAAACGGTCGTCCCTGTTCGCAGAAGGGCTTATCTTGTACCCGTCTTCGCCCGCCAAGCCTGGGGAGCTGGCGCCCCCAGACGCCAGGATCCAAGGGGGTTAGAACTTGTATTCGTTACACTGTACGTGTCCACCGCTTTTGGAGCCGATGTCCCAGACCCCCGGTGGGGCCTGAGAATCTTCATGTCCAATGCCTACGAGGCTCGTGCAACATCGTCCTCCCAGTCGGTGGATACGTACAATTTTCGTTGCCATCGGGACTTGTACGTTTCGTCACGAGCATACAGGAGGATCGGCGATCCAGACTGGAGGGGCGGCGTGGGGGTTCGAGCTATTCCTGCACGCGGCTCTACAATATGAACCATTGCATCCTCCTGCCCATCGAGAGTGTCTGAAGAAGAATGTGTGTAGACATATTTTCGGAGTTCCGCGCGGATATATTGGATCGGCGTTGGACCCCTTCCCTGGTACGCGTATTGTGTCAGGGGCGGCGCCGGAGGCGCCGAAAGGGAGATCCAGCGCCGATACGAGAGGTCTTTGCTGACCTCCGCGAGTTTCTTTTTGTGCAGTGTTTCCTTTTTGGATCCCTGCAAATCGTTCCCGCCATCGAGTATCCGGGGTGCGCCAGCTAAGAATCGCGTTCGAGGCGATCAATCAGGAGCCAAGCAGCGCTCCGCCTCACTGCGTGCACGATGCGATCTTCCCCAAGGGCGAGCGCCAACCTGTCGCGAGGGGTGCGCGGGATGGGAGCGGCGCTTCAGTTTTCGAATTGTGCGAACAAGGAGGCAGTCGCCATCTTGATTGCGGTGGTTTAGCACCCGCCCTAATGAGGAAGCATGATGATGGCGGTTGCTGTTGGTGGCAATTATGTGGATTCGAACATGAGGCGGACATGAGGTGATGACAGATGGCCAGGAGTGAGGCAGAGGGGGCAGAGGGGCGATGAGGTGCGGGGTGATGGAGGTAAGAAGGTGGTAACAGCGACGTGGTCGTGGAGGGGGTGGGATCGGGATGTATGAGGTCGGGGGTCCCAGAGATGGATGAGGCGAGGGGGATGTTGACGGGGAAGGAGGAGCATGACGAGGAGAAAGAACCTCGATCGTGGATCCAATTCTTTCTCGTTGTCTTTCCCCTCCCCCTCCTCCACAGAGGAGCGCTCTTGGGGCCAGCGTAGGTGACTCCCTCCAGCGAGGGACCACTGGAGAGGTGGGGCGAAGAGGGGCATTGTCGCGCAGGGCTCTCTGTGCCCTCGGCACCCCTCGGCCCCGCCCTGCAGGCCAAGGCGACTGCGGCGCTGCAGCCCAGCCCCAAGTACCTTGCACTGTGCAAGGAGCCCTGGGAGGGGGAGGAGGAGGAGGAGGAGGAGGAGGAGGAGGAGGAGGAGGAGGAGGAGGAGGAGGAGGAGGAGGAGTAGAAAGAAGAGGAGGAGGAGGTGGAGGAGGATGCGGAGGAGGAGGAGGAGGAGGAGGAAGAGGAAGGACGGCGAGAACGAGGAAGACAAGTTAGATGCGCTCGTCATATCTGAAATTCAATCCCTCCCTTCCACTGCTTCCCATTGCGCTGATGGTTCCTCTATCCGCGGACGCGCGTCATAGCGGACCTTGGACCCCGTCGTGTTCTTTGCAACCGGGAAATTAGAGTTGCGTGCATAGGAGGAGAAAGAGTTGGCGGGGGAGCATGAGGAGAAGGACGAGGAGGAGGAGGAGGAGGAGGAGGAGGAGGAGGGGGAGGAGGAGACGGAGAGGAGGAGGAGGAAGGGGGAATGAGGAGGAGGACGGAGGAGTACGAGGACGAACAGTCGCAGCAGGAACCAGAGTGGAGGGAGTGGGATGAGCAGGAGGACCAGGGGAAGGCGGAGGAGGGGAAATGAGGGGGCGCCCACGATGAAACAAGTATTTTGGATCCAGAAATCTGGTCCCAGATGGGGGGGGAGGGCACAAATCTGAACGACGGGAGCACAGCGCCAACTGAGGCCCACGCTGCAGCGGGAGCACCATGTTGAAACACCCATAGCAATCGGATTGCAAACCAACGCATCGAAAAAAAACATCTCAGCCCAATCTCGTCTGTGAATTATCTTTTTGTATCGCAGTGTTCCAGTTTTCAGTATCGCAATTATGGGTATCGCCTTCGGTGGATCTCTTTTTGGGACCACGAAGCGTGTAAGCGGTGTGCTTAATTGGGGCGGGGACGCATGCAGGCGCAGCCATTTGGGCTTTCGGTGGAGCCCCCCATGGGGCCACGAAAAGCGTGTGAGTGGTGTGCCGAAATGGAAAGGGGCTCGCCGCCATACGAACGTCGCCACTGGGGCCTTCGGTGGAGCTCCCTATGGGCCCACGACATGCTGTACTGAGTGATGGAGGCGCATGCGAACACCGCCACTGGGGCCTCCGGTGGAGCTCCACATGGAGCCACGAAGCGCTGTACTGCATGGGGCAGGCGCATGCGAACACCGCAACTGAGGCCTTCGGTGGAGCTCACGATGGGGCCACGAAGCGCCGTGCTGTGTGTGGGAGACGCATGCGAACACCGCCGCTGGGGCCTTCGGTGGAGCTCCCTACGGGGCCACGAAGCGCTGTACTGAGTGGGGGAGGCGCATGCGAACGTCGCCTCTGAGGCCTTCCATGGAGTCCCCTATGGGGCCACGAAGCGCTGTACTGGGCGGGGGAGGCGCATGCGAACACCGCCGCTGAGGCCTTCGTTGAAGCTCCCCATGGAACCACGCACCATGCTACGGGGTTGGGGAAACGCATGCGAACTTCGCCACTGGGGCCTCGGTTGAGTTCCCTATGGGGCCACGAAGCGCCGTACAGGGGGGGGAACGCATGCGAACACCGCCAGTGGGCCTTTCGGTGGAGCTCCCTGGGCCACGAGAAGAGTGTGAGTGGTGTGCCGAAATGGAGCGGGGCCGCCACGCGAACGTCGCCACTGGGGCCTTCGGTGGAGCTCCCCATTGAGCCACGAAGCGCTGTGCGAAGTGGGGGAGGCGCATGCGAGCACCGCCGCTGAGGCCGTTGGTGGTAGATCTCCCTATGGGGCCACGAAGCGCTCTACTTGGGGGGGAAGACGCATGCGAACACCGCCGCTGAGGCCTTCCGTGGAGCTCGCCATGGAGCCACGAAGCGCTGCGCGGGGCAGGCGCATGCGAACACCTCAACTGAGACCTTCGGTGCAGCTCCCGATGGGGCCACGACGCGCCGTGCTGGGTGGGGGAGACGCATGCAAGCACCGCCGCCGGGGCCGTTGGTGGTGGAGCTCCCTATGGGCCCACGAAATGCTTTACTGAGTGAGGGAGGCGCATGCGAACAACGACACTGGGGCCTTCGGTGGAGCTCGCCATGGAGCCACGAAGCGCTGTACTGCATGGGGCAGGCGCATGCGAACACCGCAACTGAGGCCTTCGGTGGAGCTCCCCATGGGGCCACGAAGCGCCGTTCTGTGTGGGGGAGACGCATGCGAACACCGCCGCTGGGGCCTTCGGTGGAGCTCCCTACGGGGCCACGAAGCGCTGTACTGAGTGGGGGAGGCGCATACGAACACCGCCTCTGAGGCCTTCCGTGGAGTTCCCTATGGGGCCACGAAGCGTTGTACTGGGCGGGGGAGACGCATGCGAACACCGCCACTGAGGCTTTCGCTGAAACTCCTCATGGAACCACGAAACAAGCTGCGGGGTTGGGGAAACGCATGCGAACGCCGCCACTGGGGCCTCGGTTGGGTTCCCTATGGGGCTACGAAGCGCCGTACAGGGGTGGGGGATCGCTTGCGAACACCCCCCCACTGGGGCTTTCGGTGGAGCTCCCTGGGCCACGAGAAGAGTGTGAGTGGTGTGCCGAAATGGAGCGGGGCCGCCACGCGAACGTCGCCACTGGGGCCTTCGGTGGAGCTCCCTCTGGGCCCACGAACTGCTGTACTGAGTGAGGGAGACGCATGCGAACGCCGCCACTGGGGCCTTCGGTGGAGCTTCACATGGAGCCACGAAGCGCAGTACTGGACGGGGCAGGCGCATGCGAACACCGCACCTGAGGCCTTCGGTGGAGCTCCACATGGGGCCACGAAGCGCCGTGCTGTGTGGGGGAGACGCCTGCGAACACCGCCGCTGGGGCCTTCGGTGGAGCTCCCTACGGGGCCACGAAGCGCTGTACTGAGTGGGGGAGGCGCATACGAACACCGCCTTTGAGGCCTTCCGTGGAGTTCCCTATGGGGCCACGAAGCGCTGTATTGGGCGGGGGAGACGCATGCGAACACCGCCACTGAGGCCTTCGTTGAAGCTCCCCATGGAACCACGAAACATGCTACGGAGTTGGGGGAACGCATGCGAGCGCCGCCATTGGGGCCTCGGTTGAGTTCCTTATGGGGCCACGAAGCGCTGTACTGCGCGGGGCAGGCGCATGCGAACGCCGCAACTGAGACCTTCGGTGGAGCTCCCGTTGGGGCCACGAAGCGCCGTGCTGGGTGGGGGAGACGCATGCGAGCACCGCCGCTGAGGCCGTTGGTGGTGGAGCTCCCTATGGGGCCACGAAGCGCTGTACTGGGGAGGGAGACGCATGCGAACACCGCCGCTGAGGCTTTCCGCGGAGCTCCCTATGGGGCCACGAAGCGCTGTACTGCGCGGGGGACGCATGCGATCATCGCCACTGGGGCCTTCGGTGGAGCTCCCGATGGGCCCACGAAGCGCTGTATTGGGCGGGGAAGACGCGTGCGAGCACCGCCACTGAGGCCTTCGGTTGAGTTCCTTATGGGGCCACGAAGCGGTGTACTTGGGTGTGGAGGCCGAGGCAGGGATGGAAGTACGGTGAGGAGGAGGGGGGAGGAAAGGAGAGGAGGAGACGGGAGGCGCTGATTCTTCAAAACCACGACCCAACAACAGGTTAGTTGGAAAATCAAAATGCGGAGGGGGGGTCGGGATCTTCCGGACAGGGTCAGGGGAGAGAGTAGAGTAGTATTCACTTTCTGTGATTGTGGAAGACGAGGAGGAGAGGCGAGTTTTTGGCCTTCAGAGAGCTCGTGAGCAATCTGCAGGTCTCCTCACTGCGTAAAGATCGGGGCCGCAGATCGCAGCCGGTCGCAGAGGAGGAGAGGGGGGGGGCGGGGGGCAGGACGATGACGAGGATGAGGAGGGTGTGGGGACGTGGTGGAAGAGGATGATGAAGGGCGGCATATGATGGAGGGAGGTCCGGGTCGAGAAGAGCAAGGATAATGGGGTGGAATCTGGAGCGGACGAAGATGATAGGATGGGGCGAAGCACCGTGATGGGTTGATGTGAAGAGGAGGGTTGATGGAGGAGAATGAGGAGGTGGACGGCCGCGACCCTTACCAGGGCAAAGATGAGGCGAGCGCATGGGGGAAAAGGGGTAGCAGAGTGAGGAGAGGAATGGCCGGGAAGAACGGGGAGGAAGGAGAGAGGTGGAGGAGTTGAACGAGGGGGCTAAGCGCAGGCGCAAGAGCCAGGCGCCGCCCCCGGCGCGCTCCGCGCGGTGCACCTGCATGCGCGCCGGCTGCATGCGCAGGGAGGCCACGGCCCTGCCGCCCCGACTTGCTGGCCGCCCGTCTCGCAGAGGGATCGCCTAATAGAGCCCGCGCTCAGCGGTGTCTTCGCACTCGCCCCCCCTTCCCTCCTTCCTCCCCCCTGCTCCTCCCGCTCCTGTCTCATGATGTTGAGCTCTTAGGTGGCTTTTTCGCACGAGTGAGACCAAGGGTGTTGCGTCATCGGTGCTGCTCGTGTTGCCGCCTCCTGGCGGTTCTTCTGTGCTTCCCTTCCCCCTCCTTGCTTTCTCCTCCCCCTTGCTGTCACATTCGGCGGGGTTGTTTTGTGGGCATCTCTGTTTACCCTGCGGCGCCTTTCTTACATGATTGGTCGGTCGCACCATGGGGAAATGCCCGCACAATGCCATTGTTCTCCCTCCCTACTCCTTTCCTTTCCCTCTTTTCCCGAGTCCGCGGCCATTGCAGGTGCTTGCATTGTTTGCCCTCGGTCGACACCGATCGCTGGAGTTTCGGCCACGTTCGCAGACCAGCTTGCTAAGTCGGCTAGGTGCGCGGTCGAGGGTCTTGTTCTGCATCGTGTTTCGTGCCGTCATTCCCCTCAGCTTCCCTCCTCCTTCAGTTTTTATATACACTATATGGCAACACAAGCGTTTGTCAATTTCTCTGTGTTCGGCGCGCTCACGTTCACACCATCACCCTCATCAGCGCCATTGCAGCACAGCCGGTATCGTCATCGCCAATCACTAACATCATCAGCCAATCACCTTCATCACCGAACATGGACATTATCATCGTCATCGTCGTCACCAGCATCGGCGCCGTCATTTGCCTTGCCGTCGTCATCGGCATCATCGGCATCACATCGTTATTAGCATCAACGTTGCCGCCGTTTTCGGCGGCCGCCCGCTCACCGCTCGCCCGCTCTCCGTCCGCTCTGAAAGGCCCGCGCGTCAGTGCGGCAGCATCAGTTGTGCCACACCAGCTGACCGCTCTACGCGCGAGGCTGCGCCCGCCAGCGCGGCCGCAGAGGTGCGCCAGCCAGTGCCAGGCACATCCGCAGTCGTGGGAGAGGAGAGGGTGGGACGGTGCGGAGGGTGAGATGTTTGCGCGAGCAGTGGCGTTGACAATTACTACTCACAAAAGACTTTTCGCCTCCATAGCCCAGACCTTACAGCTGACACGGCATAGCTTACACCACATACATACATACAGACAGACAGACAGACAGACAGACAGACATACATACATACATACGTATATGTATTACACCGCATTTTTTTTTTTTTTTTTTTTTTTTTTTTTTCCGAAGTGCAATGGCTCACTGTTTGGTCTCGACGCTGGCTCCTTCAATCCCCCGTCTTCCGCATCGTCCCTCCTCCCCAGATCAAAGCGAGTTGCATTTGGGTATTCGTACTTGGTCTCCCGTTGGAATTGGATGGGTCAGCCTAGGTTTCTTTTGGTGCTTTCCCGTGGGCGCCTTGTTAGCGCCGCGAGTGATGGGTTAGCCGAGGTCTCGCCTGGTGCCCGCCTCTGGGCGCCCGTGGGGGCCTCGTGGATGCCTCGTGCGGTTCGAGGCCGCGTAGACTGCACCAGACGATTTTACCACGTAGTTTGCCATCATATTACTCACGGCGTATAACTTGCACATCATTGATTTGCCGATCGGCGCCGTCCCTTGCACCCCCCCCGCCCCCCCTCCCCCCTGGAGTAGATCTTGGCTGTTTTGGGCGCCTGTTTCGAGCTGGTGGAGTCTCCCCCCATAGGCGGCACTGCTGCAAACAGTCGCACTAAGCAGAGGTCCGGAGCCAGACCCGCCCCCTCTCCCCCCCTTCCTCCCAAATGCCGAGACGACGAAAAAGCGCTCACATAGCTTACTCCACATAGCTTACACCACATAGCTTACACCACATAGCTTGTTCAATATACGTGTACATGTATACATCTGTGTGTATACATAGGTTGAAATATTCGTGTTGCACCAGAAACCTTACCTATCCACCTTGCAACAGTTGACTGTTCGATGCCCTTCCTGGCAAACATGTTTTCAATCCCGGCGGCTCTTCCGCCACGTCGACATCGGTTTGTCGCTCATGCGCCCAAGGCAATCAAACACAGATCTCGGATGCGTTGGGCAAAAAAGCGCACATTGTCAGATGTGTGGGTCTTCTTCTGCGTTTTGTGCCTCTTCCCCGCTTCGTTTCTCCATCGGTCACCCCGTGACGCGAGAGTCGCAAGGCGCCTCGGGCGCTAGGAAAGAGGGTCCAGCGCCTGCCGATCCATGAAATCCTCGCGGACCTCCGAAAGATTGTGTTGCTTGCAGGTGTTCTGTTGCCAGTGCATGACCGTCCCTCCATTTCGACTCCGAGCAGGGGTGGATCGGGGACCCTCTCTGTTGAGGGTGTCGCTTGATCCCCCCAGTCCCTCATTCCTCCCCTTCGACTCCCTCTTCCTCTTTCATCTTGCCTCTCTCCTCCCTTTTTCTCCTCATTTCTCCCTACCCCTGTATCGTCTTCCTCTCTCCTTTTTCTGTCCCTCCTTCTCTATCTCATCTTCCCCAATCACTGATTTGTCCGAGCCCGTTTTCTTGAAGCTTAGTGTAAGCGGGCCCGCACCAGCAGCAGTCGAGAGTATATTTCGAGCGCTGGAGTCTGGGCTCTGGCCACAGACATTGTTTCGAGCTGGGAGACACGCCGGAGGCTCGGTGTCCTGATTTGTTTCTGTCGTTTCGGGACTTGGTCACTTCATTTCATTTCGCTCGCCCTTACTCGCCATCCTGCGTCCCCCCTCGTCCCCCCCTCGTCTTCCTCCTGACCGGCCTTCATCATCAAACCCCTCCCCTCCCCTCCCTCTGGGGCAATGGCGGTGAAGCCGAATCGGCATTGGCAACGCCTCGGATTGGTCCGAGCGACAGCTGCTGGCTGAAGACGCTATCGCTCTGTAGTGCGTCCCCGTGCAGCGAAGGTCAAAGGAAGTTTCCCTCCGTCTCCCGCCGCCGGGATGCCGCCCTGCCTTCCGGCGGCAGGAGCGCCCTCTTTCCCGGCGCGCGGCCGCGTGAGGAGCTGTCCGAGTGCACGACCGCGCAGAAGGGCGGCGGCATGACGGGCGACCTCGGCTGGCTGAGTGTGGAGCGGGGCCGGGGGGGGGGGGCACGCGTCCTTCTCCCTCGTCCCCGATCTCCGACGATAGGACCTCTTTAGTCCGGGCATGTTCCCTCGACTTCGGCCCCTGTGGGGCTTGCTCTCGGGCCCCGAGGCCATCGGAAGTGGGTCTGGTGCGGAGCATCAGCGCCAGGGGAGTGGGAGAGGCCTCATGGGGCCGCGCACTCAAACAATCATGTCGGAGGATGTCTGGGCATTTCTTGCACCTTCCCTCCCCCCCGTCTCCCTGCTCTGTGTCCGGTTCCTCCACGCGGGCTGCTTCGCCGCGGGCCTCCACTTGCACGGCCTTGGCCAGTCCCTCGACACGGCTGGTGTCGGCGGCGGCCGCCCGCCGCTGCCCTGGGCCGAGCGTCGTTTGTTTACACGGTGTGTCGCAGGATTCCTCATCTCCTTTATTCCTTCTTCTTGTTCCTCTCTTTCTTTTTGTTGTCGTATTATTTCTCTTCAAGGAGGAGGAGGAGGAGGAGGAGGAGGAGGAGGAGGAGGTGTGTGTGTGTGAGGAGCTTGGTGGGTGCAGTTCTGGGTGATCGTCCTACCCTGTTTTTGTTAGCCGCTTTTAGATGTAACATGCGTTGCGCACTCCGTTTCAGCCAAGTTCCCTCCCCGACGCCCTTTCCACTCCCCTTGCTTTCTCCTCTTTTCCCACCTCTCCTCCACTGGGATCTCGCAGGTAAAGAGAGGCTTGGTCGGTACAACCTGTGTCCGCCGAGGAGGCGGACTACGGTGAAAAGGGGCGTAGAGCAGGTTAGAGGGGGCAAGAGGGGGAAGCAGAAAGGGGAACCAGAAGAAGGAGGCGGGTCACGAGTACGAGGAGGGCGAGGGAAGAAGGAGTGCGCGGAGAAGTGGAGTCAACGTGAGGAGGAAGCACGATGTTAGATGAGGAAGCCGTGCAGTCCCGACGCCCGCAGGACCAGCTAATCAGGTTCGGGCCAGGATTTGCGGAGACAGCCAAGGCAGCGCCGTCATCGCTTCTATGTGGAATGGGTGTCGCTGTGTCAGTAGCATGTCAGTCAGAGCTTCACTTCGAGGTGTGGCCAACTTCGATGTTGAAAGGAGCTCGGTGTCATGTAACCTATTTCATGGGTATTTCATTGACGCTCATCGTCCAGTCTGGCGCAGCTCAGGCCAAAGATGGGGCTGCTTCCGTTGTCCAATGTCCCCTTACGGCTAATGGTTTGTTGTGTTGTTGTTGTTGTTGTTGTTGTTGTTGTTGTCCTTTGCCTCGGGATGTTTGGTCGGAGGTTGTTAGATCTGATGAACATCTGGCTGTTAGTACTCGGCCATCAGGCCTGGACCGCTGATTATTTGCCGCAAGTCGCCCGCACCGAGAAGTCAGCAGCTCATGACTAGGAGCGTATCGGGGTCAGTTTGTTGATACCATCTGCTCGCCATTCGCCAATCGTCAGTAACTCGTCGTCGCCTTCCAAGTGCACGCAAGCCGCTCGGTGCATGCTGCAACTAATAACTTGTTGCTCCTCTGTTGTCGAGCCGACGTTAGAGCATCGAGCTTTAACCCGTCTGATGCAGGCAGTGCGTTGGTGAAGTCTAATAAGACATATGACAAGTATTATCGTTCAAGACGTGCGCGAACAACTCGGAGTGCCGGGCAATTCGACGAATGGATGTGGATAGAGTGGCCCCAGTCTTACACGGATGCTGGTCAATCTTCTGGCCTCTTCGATGTTTCTCGTGGCTTGCGCGCCATTTCGGTGCCATCTTGGGCAATCCCGACATTCACGTCCACGAGCGTCTTCCTTTGCCTCTGCAGAGTTTTGCAGCCCAGGGTGCATGGTCCCTGCAGCCTCGGGGAGGAGGAGAAGGGAAGACAGGAGGCGGTGCAGGAGACGGAGGAGGGACGAGGAAGTTATCGACGGAGGGAGTGAAGGACGTGAGCTGGATCAGGAGACATGAGGAAGATGAGCAGGAGATGCGACGATGCTTTATGATGAGGAGCAGGAGCACAGGCAGGAGCAGCAGGAGGCAGAGGAGGAGCGGGAGGGAGGATGAGGAAGTATCCGAGGAGAAGAAGGACGGTGGGAGGAGGGAGGAGGGGACGGGGGAGGAGTTAGGAAGAGGATGAGAAGGAGGAGGAGGAGGAGGAGGAGTTAGGAGGAGGAGGAGGAGGAGTTAGGAGGACGAGTGACGGCAAGCAGAGAAGGAGGGCGCTTTCCACCCCCCTGGCGGGAGGCCTTGGCCGTCGGCCAGTGGAGCGATCTGGCGTCGTCCGAGCACGGCGCTGTTGGGGGAGGGGGACGGCGGTCGCGGGAGCGCGTGCCTTTCTGAGGAGAGCGCGGCGGGGGATCTCCGCTTCACGCCGCTTTGTCTCTGATGGGCCTATCGTGGCGCCCGCCGAGCCTCGTCGTCCATCCTCGTCCTCCTCGCGTTCTCTGTGCCGCCCCCCTGTCGCTCCTGTCCTCCTGCTCCGACGCCTCTTCGCGCAAGGAGGACGAGATCGAGGAGGAGGGGGACGACGTCGACGAGGAGGATGAGGAGGGAGGCTCCCTCGTCTTCCTCGTCCTCTCTCATCTCCTCCCTCCTCCCTTCGTCTCGCGCCCCCCCGTCCCCCCATCTCCCTCCCGTACCCCCCTTGCCATACATTGCATTCGTTCTTTTCCTCGTCGTCTTTTTTCCACCCAGCAGGGCCAATTTCGATCCCATCGATGCGATTCGATGCTGGTTCTGGCCCGTTCGATCCGATGCGATTCCGATGTTTGGTGGTGATGTGCATCCAGTCGCAGCCGATCCGACTCGATTTCGATTCCGTGCCGATGCCCGACTCGACGCACGTATTGATCCGATCTGATTTCCAGATTCGATGTTGATTGATCTTGCCCAGACACCATTTCTCCTCATCATAGTTGTCATCCTCCGCCTCATTCTCTGCCGCGGCCCCTTCCCTTGTCCTGACTCCTGGTCCTTCTCCTCCTCATGCTCCTGATCATCATCCTCGTCCTGATCTCATCCTACGTAACCACTTGGCTCAAGATGATCGTCCCTTCCGCGGAGCCAGTGGACAGCCCTGATCGGAGGCAGCTGTCCAATTCTCCTCCAAGTTTGCCCTCGGCCTCCTCTCCCCTTCTTTCTCCTTGTCTCTCGCCTCCCACGGCTCACTGTTTGGGATCGTGTGGAGCTCATCTTCGGGCGGAAGGTCGTTGGGCCATATGCCAGCCAGTCTTGCAGGCGTCTGCGCCCCCTCCTTTTCGGCATCCTCTGCGCTCCTCCTCCTCATCCTCCTCCTCCTCCTGGCCTCCCTCCGTGTGACTCGCGGGCGCGCGCGCGCCTGACGGCGGGGTCTGGTGGTCTGGTGGCTCACACCGCGGCGCGTCCTCGCCTCGTGTGCCCTCGCCGCTCGTTGTGCGCAGCGGTGGTTCCCCCCCTATCGTCCTCGGCCTCCTCCGCCCTCCCCCCCTTCCTGGTCCTCCCCTTCCTTTCTTTTTGGCCACGCTGTCAGGACAGTCCCGTCCCGTCCCGCGGCAGTGGCACCCGTCCCGCGGCAGTGGCACGCCCTTTGGCAGGACAGAGTGTCCTCATCAGCGCCGGTCCCGCGACACATGTTTAAGTGCTCTGAATTTCTCGAAAAGGCATGGTTTCAAAGTTTACGTGGTCCTGCACGGGGCTTGGGCTCATATTTGCTAATCGGCCGTCTTGCCCTTTGATCCGGGAGAAGTATCCAAGACATGTCGAAGCTTCGCCCCTTGCCATGGTCCATCCCCTTCGCTCTACTGGCTGTGCATCTTCTTTGTCGTGCTGCACCTCCCCACTACTGTTGCCTGACCTGCCCCTTCCACCCATCGACGCTACAGCCACCCAGTATTTCTATACCGCCCCAAGCTGCAGCCGCCCCGCACCCTTCCGATCAGCAGAAGCAAGAGCAACACGTGCACGTGTTGCGTCTCTTCGAGATGGGCGAGCGGCCCCAATCCGCCCCGATGCTTTTCGCCGTTCATTTCGATCCTCGCACGCCAGCGAACTCGGCGCTCAACAATTGCGAGCAGGCCCCGCCGCGCAAGCAGCGCTACGCGCCACGCAAAACGAGCGCAGCGACTTGCTCCAGGACGTGTTCGGCTTCTCCGGGCCCCGCGTCGGCTAGCGCGCGCGGGGGCCCCTCGGCCGAGGATGGCCCGGGCGCTCGAAGAGCCGGTGGACAACGTCGATGGAGAACCGAACCGAGGCCATTTTCGGGGCATTCAGATCGCACTCGCAAGAAGTTGTGCAGCATTCTCCTGCTGACCTTCGGGAATCTCGCGCATGTTCTCGGGCTGTCGCGCCATTCCTATCCTGGGCCAGGCGGGCTTCCGCGTCGAGCGCGAATGGTCTCGAACAGGCAGCTTCCGCACTCCATGTGTTTCCGCATCATTTCTTTACTGGAAGCAACGCGACCCCGACGAGTCTCGTTTTCATTCCTGCCCGAGGGCTTGGGGCGCATCTCGTGGGTGGGGTTGGTGAGCAGCGGGAGGAATGCGCGCGTTCGTGCGAAGAAATTTAACCTGCGTGGCCGTGGTCGTTCCTGCAGACCCTTGCAGGGGGCCGGACCGCAAGTCATTGCGTACAGACTTGCGCCATTGTGTGGTGCCTTTTCGAGTTCCCGCTGCCCGATGCCATTCTCATTACTTGTCCAGTTTTGCCATTCGCGAGCACTTCCATCTCCCAACCAGTCCGTGACCTCCCCCGGCACTGCTGCTGACGACGAATAGATTCGCCTTGAAAGCCCGCTGTGACGGTCCGATGTGATAAGACTCTATTCCCTCTCTTTGTATGGGCACCATGAGTTGACAGTTGCGGTGGCCCAGTTGCACCAGTTTGCGGACGCCCAGCTGTGCGCAACATGCGCCCTCGCACGCTACTGATTGCTAGGCTCGGAGAACCACCTGTACCTCAATTGCGGTCTTACTAAACTTCCCCGACCCACCCGTAATGTCCACCCGCCGCTCTCTCTCTTCTCTCCCGTCCCTCCTTCAGCAGTATTATGTTTTCAGTCTCCATTCTGCCTTCTTCTCCTGTTCGGTAATATTTCGATGCTTCGTGCAATCTCACCAGCCCATCCAGAAACGATGTCCAAACGAGGTGCCCTGATCATGGATGTGGAGGAGCACGCAGTGAAATAAATGACCGGGGAAGCCGTCGGACCTCAAGAGGAAGAGGACGATGAGGTGATGCAACGCGGGGCTTGGGACATCCGTGCTCCTTACCTCTGCTGCTACACATGCAATGAGCAATGCACAACAACAAAGAAAAAGAAAAGAAAGAGGTGCCAACCCATCCAACTAGTTGCTGATGAGCCAGTTGCGTAAGGCCGAACGTGCGGCCTCCCTCGCCTCCTGTCGCCTACCCTCCGCGTCTGGGGGGGAGGCCGGGGCGAAGCACGATGGGGTGGGCACCTGGATTCTGCGACGTGCCGCCCGACTCTCCTTGGCGAGAGCTCGGTGGGCCGCAATGCGGTCACGCTGCTGGGTGGTGAGCTCGAGAGGGGCGGGAGGAGGAGGCGAAGGCGACGGGGGGGGGGAGGGAGGGAGAAGGAGCCACTCAGCAGCTTGCTCCTCTGGGGAGGGAGGGAGGAGGGAGGAGGAGGAGGAGGAGGCGGACGACGACGACGACGAGGAGGACGACGTGGACGAGGAGGAGAAGGAAGAATAGGCGAGGGGGAGGAGGGAGGAGAGAGGAGGAGGACAAGCTAGGTGCGCTCGCGTCATATCTGACGTCGTACCCCTCCCTCCCATCCCTTACCATGGCGCTGATTTTCTCTATCTGCGGACGCGTGTCGTAGCGGACCTGTGGCTCCGCGCGCGCGTGCGTAGTGGGTGGTGGTGCGCGTGCGTGCGTGCGTGCGTGTGCGTGGTGGTGGTGTGGTGCTGGTGCTGCTGCTGCTGCTGCTGCTGCTGCTGGTGGTGCTGGTGCTGGTGCTGGTGGTGGTGGTGGTGGTGGTGGTGCGGCGCGGTGGTGGCGGGCGGATGGGCGCGCGAGAAAGAGGCCCGCGCTGGGGCGAGAACGCCATCCTGAACGACGGAGGCCAAACACCGATCCGAAAATGAGGCCCACGCTGCAGCGGGAGCACGATTCGGAACGATTCGGGAGCAGAAATGAGGCCGGCGCCTCAGCGAGAGCAGCATGTTGAAAAAAAACGCAGGCGAAAACCCAACTCCCGGGAATCTTGTGTGTAAAAAACAGTACGCGGGGGGGGGTCGGCTACTTTCAGGCCACCATCGGGGGAAGAGGGAGAGTAGTATTCATATTGAGTAATTGTATAGGCGGAGGAGGAGGAGGAGGAGGAGGAGGAGGTGCAGGAGGAGGGCGAACAGAGAGACCAGAGGCCACTTGGATGCCTCTAGGAGTGTATTCGGTTGTCTCTTGAATTTTCCTTGGGGCGTTTGGGGAGCCACCAGGCGGTCCCGGAGGGCTCTTGGAACGTCTTGGGTGCCTCGGGGGAACCTCTGGGGCCTCTTAGGGGTCTCGTGGGGGCCTCGTGGGGAGCTCTTGCAGGCCTCTTGGGTCCTCTTGGACGCCTCTTGGGGCTCTCTTCGGGCACTCTTGGGAGCCTTTAGGGCGATCTAGCCGCCTAGTGGGATGGGCACAGACCAAAAGAAGCGGAGGTCACAAGTAGCACTGCCCCCCGATACACCTCAAATCGTGTCTTGTGGCACGTTTGGGGCGATTTGGGGTTCTTTTGGGGCCATCTTGAGACCTCGGAGGGCCGTCGAAAGCGAAAAGGCGAGAAAACACCACACACTGGTTTCCCTTGTAGGGGGTTTTGAGATATTGGCCTCTTGGTGGCTTCCATGGGAGCTTCCGTGTTCACTTGGGGCCGTTTTGGGGCGGTCATGAAGCCTTTGGGAACATGGTGGAAGCCATCGTGAGCCATCTTGAGCTATATGGGAGGTCGTTCTGGGCTACCTGATGGACTGTTGGAGCCATCTTGGGTCATCCTGGACGCTCCCATGGATCGCCCCCCCCGCGTCCAGGTCCAGATGACGGGGTACGAGAAGCGGTCGAGTCACCCTCAGCCGCAAGTGTCGCTCGCTCCCACCCGCCCTCCCACTACATAGGTAGCATCCGAGTCTCAGCACAGGCAGGGGCCGCCATCGACAACCATAGAGAATAAATGCAGACGCCAGCCAGGTGCGCGATGCCTTCGAGGTCCGCCGAACGTGCCACGTGCACCACGCGCACCAGGTGCGCCACATTGGGCAACGTGTCGACCGCCCCACCATCCCTGTCATAAGCCAATGCTAAATGATG